TACAACAGTTCAAATGTGTCTGGGCACACTAAAGAGGCAGGAGGAGAGTTCCAAATGTCCAAGCTTGTGATAAACTGGGTGCCATCCACCTCAGTTCTGGATAACATCCATCATCATTTCAGCTCCCTCTCTGCCAATTTCACCTTCAAGTTGGAAATTTTGAAATTAAGATTCACTCAAGGTCCACACTGGTGGCTTCTGATGCAGAAGAAAAGGTAGAGAATTCCTTCACATATGAATGAGTGAGAAACCAAACATTCTTCTTTTTTGTTTTTGTTTTTTTTTTTTAAGATTTTATTTATTCATTCATGAGACAGAGAGACAGAGAGAGAGGCAGAGACACAGGCAGAGGGAGAAGCAGGCTCCATGCAGGGAACCCAACGTGGGACTCAATCCCAGGACTCCAGGATCACGCCCCAAGCCAAAGGCAGTCGCTCCGCTGCTGCCACCCAGGCGTCCCGAAACCAAACATTCTATGCTGCAGCATACACCCTTCTCTAGAACTGCTCTAGAAAAGTATCATGGTAGGGAGCAAAAAATGAAAGAAATGGAACGGTTTTCTTTTCCACTCTCCATCTACATGAAAAATGTGAGAAGCAGAAAGGGTCTCCTCCCTCCTATGTATCTGTCAGCACATTTCCAGGAGGCCTGGCCACGTCCCGGGCACTGGCTGGCTGGGGAAGAGAGACTGACACAGCACATTCGTTCGCCTTGGAGCCCTCGCCTGGGTGGTCTGCTATTATTCCTTTGATTAAACTCCCAGGCTGGAAGAGCTGGAGCTGCTCCTAATGATAGCTGGGCCCTGAAATCTCACACTCGCCCGCACAGAGAGGGCCGGGGCTCCCTCTGAGTGTCTGCCTCCCACTCCTCACCACAGAGCCAGGCTCCTTGGCCACATTCTTCTGCTCACTAACAGCAGTAACCACAAAGGGCGACATCTGTGCAGAGTGCTACAGTGGCAAGGCACACCTCTCCCAGTGCGGGGTGAGGCAGAGGTAATGAGGCTGATGCTCTACTCCAGCGCCCTGACACCTACTGCAGCCCTTCCCATGACTGGACTGCTCCTAGAAAACCCTGCTTTTAAAAGGGATGTACAACCTGAATTCCAAAGAACCCCATTTCCAAAGGACAACCAGCCTCTTGTGTGCCAAGGGAAAGAACTAATGTGACCCATTCTCTGCTCCAATCTGTAGGGTAACTTGTTGAATAATGTACGCCAAGAACATTTATCTCTTTCCAGCATTATTTCAAGTGTACACATGCCGGCACAAACATTTCTGAAGTGGCTCTTGTGGCTACTTCATGTGGCAAGGAAATTTCGATGTTTTCATGAGTTCTAGGCTATAAAGAAAGCTAAATCATAACAGAGATAGTGAAAGTAATTACAAGCTAAATAAGGTTCTGTTCTTAGCCATGCAAATCCCTAAGAACTCAGCCTCTGATGTAAATTCTGAGTAACTCAAAGTTTTATTCTAAAATTTTGGGGTTGTCAGAGTACTTTCTTTACCCTTAGCTAGCTCACTGTTCCTCAGCATCTTCACCAGTGAACAGCAGGGAAATGGGGTGACAGTGTCTTATCTTACAATCTACCCTCCTCCAGCTACCTGAGGGATCAAGCTAAAAGACAAAGCCAACTGTGTCTCTGTGGCCTCCCTAACCCCCCAACCTATTGAGATTTAGAGAAGTTCTTTCAGAGAGAAAGCTCTCCTTAAATCAGCCTTTGTCTTCTCTTCTGGCTTCCATCCTAGCTGCTCTCTGCTGATTCCCTATCCTCCAGTAGCACTAACCAGCCTGCTATTTCCCTACAAACATAAAGGCTGGCTTTTATTCTGGAACCTGTACTCACCCTTCTGCCACCCACATGCCTACCTTTAAGATTCAGTTTCCATATAATCTCTTCCAAGAAGGCTATGGCCTTCTCACTCTCATACACAAAATGAGTTAGGTTTTACCTTTTGAGACTTGTGTGATTGCCTAGAAATATCTCTGCCGTGCATATTCCATGCTAGTACTATCATGTGTTTATGTGGCTGTCGCCTTTACCACATTGTAAGTTATTTCATGCCAAGGACTATGTCTTATATCATCCTCCATGGCTTAGTACCAAAGCCTGGAACATTCCTAAGAGCTTAATAAAATGTTTTTGAATGAATAAATTAAAAAACCACATTTGAATGAAAAGGTTTTTGAAGGATGCCACAAAAAGCTTTAATGAGGTAAGTAGTTGAAATTATAGACAAAATAAAATAATTTTTCAAAAATGGACCCAAGGATTGCAATTTTTTATACTCATCCTCCAAAACACAAATAATTTTTAAAAATCTGTGTTCTTTATTTAGTGATAAAGACTCTTAACACCTTACCCAGAAAAGCAATGTAAAGATACATCAGAGTTTATGGGATATGATGAAAGCAATACTCAGGGGAAAATTCATAGCTTTAAAACAGAGACAAACAAGAGTGAATGAAAGTAAGTATCCAACTTAAGAAACTGAGAGGAAAAATAAAGCTAGTAAAAGCTGAAGAAAGGGAATTAGTAAAGACAAAACAAAACAACCAATTAGAAAACAATAGAATGGATAAGTATATACAGAATTATCTTATCAAAAAAAGGTAAGAAGGGGAAGAAAACATTAACCCTACTGGATTTAAAGAAGAAAAAAAAAAGAAAACAAACACAAAATAGGAAATGGAAGGAAATAATCAGAGGTAAGAGGAAGTAAAAAGCATTTAAATTAATTACTGAACACAAAGCTGCTTCTGATGAAACTGCCTTGAAGGTTTCATGGCCTGAGTCAAGAGAAAAGGGCAGAGCTGCCCCCACTTTGGGTCTGCACCTCCACTTGTAAACACATGGGCCAGAGCCCATATGACACCATTGCAACAGGCTATTATTTACTAAAAGAAGAATAAAAGAATTTCCCAAGTTCCAAATTAAGGAATTACTTGCTCCGAGGAGAAGGAGCCAGATAACATATAATTGAGCTTTAACAAAGCTTATATTAACAAAGTTCATATTTTGATAACACTATATTTAAAAACTCACTTTTTCAAATCAGATTAGAAATCATTTATTATTGAAAGCCTTTAATGGCTGAAATACCAATACTTTCCAAATACATGGCATTTAGACTGCACAAAGTAGTTTTTGCATACTACTCTCAGGAACCTACTGTGTTTTTGCCACCAACAAAGATCCTGAGGTTGAAAGTTGAGTGAACTGTCCCAGATCACACAGCTGGTCAATGGTGGTGGAAGACAGATCTGTAGATGGCTAGTCCAAGTCACTTTCTGCCACCCACCCTGTTTATTACCTACTACAGCCCCTCCCTCAGCACTGTACCAAGCACTAACCACCCTCTTATCAGACTCTAGAAGTTAAGACTGACATCTAATGGCAAGTTCAGATCCCTACGAACAGGAGTCTGGTGGACTTTAAATTCTCTGGCACTGAAGTTCTCCTCAGACAAGACAGATGAACTGAAGGGAACAACTTTCCAATTAGGATACAATCACCCTGGAGTCCCACAGGATCAGAATCTTGTCATTTTGCAAGCTTTGCAGCTTACCAAATGACAGAAGCTAAAAATATGTAAACACTAATATTGGCTACATTCTTTTTACTATGACTGCAAAGAAATTTTCCTAATGTCTTGGTGCTTCTAGCTGCTCATTTATAAACTGGAAACATACACTCTTGTCAGTGACCCAGTGAAATACATGTAGGGGATCACTGGCTCTCTTCCTTCCTCATAGCCACTTCACATTTCAAATTTCCTTCCCATTCTACCATGGTCATGACATTATAATCCCTCTTCCCATCACTCCATCACTAAAATCTAACACACCAACCTCCCTCAAGTCTCAAAAGATTCTTTGCTTCCTATTTCCAATCAGGCCACCTCATCTACTCCCTTCGATTAGGGATTTGAGAAAGAAAATTCATTACAGTCTTACACACAAAACTCATTACAGCCTTACAAGATGAGGTTGAAGTAAAGCTAAAGCTTACCTTTAATTCCAGTTCTAAATTTTATACAGAGAAGCAGGGCACCACCAGGGAGCAGTGTGTTGCCTACTTTTAACATGTGCTCGAAGTTATTTTCAGCTTCATTTTTTTCTAGACTTGATTATCATTACAGAGTTGCCACTGATTAAGACTCTGATGCAGGAGAGATGTAGCAAAATGTAACCATGGAGTTAAATTATATTTCTTTGGAAGATTTTGATGCCATTTTACATAAATGAAAGGGAGAAGACATGGCTTCTACTTCTAGTTAAATGCCATGGGGATGATCAGCAAGGAGGACAAAAACAATCCCAAAGTTGTTGTGAAAGTTTCACCTAACTTCATTGTGTTCGGAGCTTGTTATTATATACACAACTTAAGGTAAAAATTGCAGTATCTAATTCCATCTATCCAGCTTCCTGAATGACCTTGATTCTATCTTCTTTCAGCCTCAGTTTCCCCCATCTGTAAAATGGGGAGAATGATATGTGTTGGCTAAAGGTGTATTGAGATACTTCCCTAATCAGTAGCCATAAAATGTCCTGAGATCAAGAGACAAAAAGATGGTATAGTTAAAAAAAAAAACAAAAACAAAAACAAAACAAAACAAAAAACTCAAAGGTAAAAGGTAATGTTATGACATTCTGATAAAAAGATTTCTAAGACTAGAACTCACTGGAAAATTTTACCAAAGAAAGAAGTTATTTTTAAAGTTCCTTTAAAAGTCTATTTGACAGCTGAACATTCAGATCTGTTTATCCATGAAATGAGTACATCAGAGTTAGCAGGCTTAATTTTGGAATACCTGAAACAGAGGCTCATTTTCTTCAAAGATGAAGGGAACATTTTCATTCTTTAGCTCACACCAACTAGTACTCCTTCAACAGGCATCAGCATACAGGAAATGAGCAAAGGCAGGGAAGGACAAAGTACTGTGTCCTTAATACAATCCTCAGGACCAAAGAGCTCTTGGTCCCCCAACTGTCCGTACCTGCTGGGTGAGGAGACTGATGTGGGTAGATGGGGAATACTGCCTGGCTGCCTGCTTCTCAGCCAGCCGCTGAAGCTCGGCCGTAACCATACTTGGGTTATACCGTCTGCTGTACAGAGAACCATCTTCTTCTCTTTGTGGTTTAGCCATTCCCGAGTGCAGCTTGTTTGGATGGCATGAACCTGTTAAAGAGAGAAAAGTTTTTACCCATCTTGGGAAAAAACCCTGAAAAACTTAGGGTGATGACAAAGAAATCTCAGCCAACAGATACTTGACTGAATCCCAGGGATCTTGGACAACTTGTTACAAGCATTTATTAATATATTTTTGTTTACTATGAAAGCTTCACACACACAAAATTTCATCATATGCAGTGGGGAACAACCACTGCTAGAATTTATTAATCTTGATGAACAAAAAGTTGTAGTTTTAAAACTCATTATAATTCTTATCTTTTTGTGATGGGGCTGTACTTGTCAGTAGTCTGTGGCATCTACTGTCAAATAAGCCACAATCCTTCTTCTCAAGCTCAAAAGGGAAAACAGATAAAAGCAAAACAGCATAACTAGAAAAACAGCAATAATCTTATATTGACTAAATGATTCATTTTCCTTTCATATTTAAATGCTCTTCTTTCAACTATAATATCAGAGAGTTCTATTATTTTTGAGCACTGAAATTCTGGCAAAAAGAAATTATTTAATAATATCAAGGTTCATATTTTTCCTATGACGGAAGTCACATAGTTCACAGAAAAAAGTTTAAAACCCAGAAAAGTAGAAACATGTTTCCTTTCTGTCTTATTAATGCTTAGATAACTGCGATCATTTGCTATATACAATCTGGTGACACTGCTTAAAAAAAATCTGTAACTTTTTCATGTTTATTGTGTGATACGTAGAAAATTTTATAACAGATGTGTAAGTTATAAAGAATACTATAACGAACCCCTGTGAACTTACTACCCAACTCAAAAACCATATCACTAATTAATGTGCATCAACTACATGCTTGAGACATCTCTTACCTCCCCTTATCATTCATTCCCTTCCTTTTTAATATCTTTAATAATGTATTTGTGTGGGTATGTGTATGTATGCATAAACAAAATACTAGATAATTTTGCTTAGTTTTGAGCTCTATAAAGTAATATCTTACTGTGGTAGTTTCCTGAGATTTGCTCTTGTCATTCAATACCATACTTTCAAGATTCATCCTTGCTAAGGATAGCTTAAAATACGTTAATCTGCTGCTTGATATTCCATACAAATACACTACAACGTATTTTTCTCTTACCCTATCAATGGATATTTTGGCTATTTGAAGCTTATTGCTATTATAAACAGTGCGGCCATGAACACTCTTGAATACATCTCCTGGTGCACATGTGGAAGAATTTCTCTTGTGTATATGCTTAAGAACGGGATGTTGAATTTTAGAGTATGTAAATTTTCAAATTTACATAATACCAAAGTGGAATTTTTTGACACTTTCACAAACAAAATATGAGGGTTCCTACTGATCCACATCCCCTCCAACACTTGGTATTGTCAAGTATCTTAATTCTTTTCACTTCTAAGGGAGTAAAAATCTCATTGTACACTTACTGATTAATAATGACACCAAGTATGTGTTACCTCCTTTCTGACACTACTGATCATTTTTCTATTGAGTTGTCTTTTTCCTATTGATTTATAGGAGTTTTGCTTATATTTTCACTTGCTTCATATCATACGATCTTAAAGATTGTCTCATTTATTTTATCCTAGAAGTTTTTATTAAAGACTTATTTATTTTAGAGAGGAAGAGGGAACACACACATGTACGTACATGCGGAAGCATGGAGGAGGGGAAGAAGAAGAGAGAGAATCTCAAACATTCCCTGCTGAGTGCAGAGCCTGATATGGGGGCTCAAGCTCACAACCCTGAGATCATGATCTGAACCTAAATCAAAAGTCAGATGCTTAACCAATTGAGTCAATCAGGCGCTCCTATTTTATCCTAGAAGTTTTAAGTTTTGCATTTGAAATTGATTTTATACATAGTATGAGTCAGTGACCTAATTTCATTTTTTCCCTCGTATTATTAACTATCCCAGCATTATGTATTGAGAAACCTCTCCTTTTCCACTATGTACCATGCCATCTTGGATATGTATCAAAGTTCTATCTAGCTGTATATCTCTAATTTCCTCTCCTTTTCCATTGGCCCATCTGTCTATACCTTTGCCAATACTACACTTTCTTAATTATCATATCTTTATATGTCATAATAAGGTGTTCCTCTATTTTTGTTCTTGTCAAGTGTAACAAAAGACCTACTGAGGTTCTGGTTGAACTTGTATTGAATCTAGGGATCAATCTGATGAGAACTGAAACATTTATGACACTGATTCTTTTTTTTTTTTTTTTAATTTTTTTTTTTAATTTGTTTATGATAGTCACACACACATACAGAGAGAGAGAGAGAGAGAGAGAGAGAGAGAGAGGCAGAGACACAGGCAGAGGGAGAAGCAGGCTCCATGCACTGGGAGCCCGACGTGGGATTCGATCCCGGGTCTCCAGGATTGCGCCCTGGGCCAAAGGCAGGCGCCAAACCACTGCGCCACCCAGGGATCCCAATGACACTGATTCTTTCCATCCGTGCACATAGTCTATTTAACTTATTTTATTTAGGTTTTCTCTAATGTCCTTCAAAAAGCCTTATAAAGTTTCCTTTCTTTCCTAAATTTATCCCTAAATTTATTGTTTTCTTGGTGGTGGTAACTATTACACAAAATGTGAATGTACTTAATGCCAATGAACTATAAACTTAAAAACTTCGAAACTTAGAAAGTTAAGATGGTAAATTTTATATATATTTAACCACAATACAAAAAAAAAAAGCTTTCTCTTTGTTTCTAATATACAGAAAAAGCCACTGATTTTTAATATTGATCTTATAGCCAGCTATACTGCTAAAATATTTATTTAAAAAATGTATTTGTAGATTACTTTCAATTTTCTATGTAGACAACATATTCTCTGCAAATAAACAAATTTTATTTCCTCCTTTTTGATCCTTATGCTTTTAATTTCCTTTCTTTGCCTTACTATGCTGGGTCTAGTAAAACATTAAATAGAAGCAATGGTAGTGGGCATCTTTTATGACTCTTAACGTTAAAAAGAATTCTTTCAACATTTCTTCATTTACACTGATACCTCTTGTAGGATTTTGCGGATGGCCCTTTCCGGCTTGGGAGAATTTCCTTCTCTTCCTAGTATGCTGAGAGCTTTATCATGAATGAGTGTGGAATTTTATCAAGTTCTTTTTCTACATCTACTAAGATGAATATGGTTCTTCTCCTTTAATTTGTTGATGTAGCAAATGTTGTTTATACATTTCAAATGTTAAGTCCCTCCTGTGTACTTTGGATAAACTTGTTCATGTTGTCCCATCTCTTTCATATGTTGCTAGATTTGGCTGGCTTATATTTTCATTAGAATTTTTGTATTTATGTTCATAACTATAATTATATTACAATATAAAATTATAATTTTCCTAATATTGTCCCCAACTCGTTTTATTAAGATTAAAGTAGACATATGGAATGAGTTGAGAATTATTTCTTTTCCCATTCTCAAGGACAGTTTAAGATTGGAATTATCTCCCTGTTGAAAGATTGTTGGAACTTACTTATCTGGGCCTCAAATTTTCTTTGTGAGATTTTTAACTATTGTTTCAATTCTCTAAATATTTACAGGACTAGTGAGGCTTTCTTTATCTTCTTGAGTCAATTTACATATGTTACACTTTTGTATTTGTCCATTTTGTAAGTTTTCAATTTTATTGGAATAAAATGGTTTAACAGTATTCTTTTTGTCACCTATGCAATATTTGTATGCTCTACCACTTTCCAATTCCTTATATTATTTATTCATGTCTTCTCTCTTTTCTTGATCAGTCTCACAAGAGATCTGTCCATCTTATTAGGGTTTTCAAAGAACTTTTGGCTTTGATATTCTCTAGTGTGCTTTATTTCTGAATTCTCTGATATTTTGCCCTTCTCTTCTTTTCTTTATTTAGATTATGTTTCAATAATGTCCATAATACAAAGTAATTGTCAGCCTTTCTTCTTTTCAAATGAAAGTTTTTAAGGCAATAAATTTTCCTCCAAATACTGCCTTTCATTGCTCTCCAAGCACCTGAACATGCAGTTTTCTCATTCAGTTCTAATACTTTTACATTTCCATTATGATTTCTTGACTCCTTTTTTTTTTAAGTTTTTATTTAAATTCCAGTTAGTTGGGGATCCCTGGGTGGCGCAGCGGTTTGGCGCCTGCCTTTGGCCCAGGGCGCGATCCTGGAGACCCGGGATCGAATCCCACATCGGGCTCCCGGTGCATGGAGCCTGCTTCTCCATCTGCCTATGTCTCTGCCTCTCTCTCTTTCTCTCTCTGTGACTATCATAAATAAATAAAAATTTAAAAAAATAAATTCCAGTTAGTTAACATACAGTGTAGTATTAGTATCAGGTGTACAATATAGTGATTCAACACCTCTATACAACACCCAGTGTCTGACTTTTAATCCTGACATTCATGAAGATTTGTTATATGCTGTATCTTTTTGTTATTGCCATTCAATTTAATTGCAGTGTAGATGGAGAATGGACCTGTATTTTATCATTCTGTGAAATGTGTCTTATTTCATATAATTTGTCTTATTTTGTGGTGTAGAACATGACTGGTTTTATAAATATATTATGTGTGTTTGAGAAGATGTTTTTCTCGAATTATTGGGTACACAGTTCTATGCATGATCAATTGATAAAGCTTATCAACTTGTTCAAATCCTCTTCATCTTTGTTAACTTAAAACAATCTGTTTAGTCTATCAGTAATTGATAGACATATGTAGAAATCTCCCACTAAGACAGTGGATTTGTAGATTCCTCGGGTACTTGTATCAATCTTTATTCTATATATTCGGGAGTTACTTTATTAGGTGCACTTAGAACCGTTTTACCTTTCTGCTAAACCTAACCTTTACCTTTTGTCTTATGTAATTACCCTCTGTATCTGTAAGAAAATTTTATATCTTAAAGTCTATTTTTTAGCATATGTTAATATAGCTATACCATGTTTCTTCTGGTTGGTATTTACATGGCACTTCTTTATTCTTTTACTTTTAACCACTTTTTGTTCTTTAGGTATATCTCTGTTAAAGCATACGGTTGGATTTTTAAAAAATTCAATCTGACACTCTTCTAACAAGTTCAACCCATTAATATTTATTTGACTCTTGACATTAGGACTTGGTTTGCTATCTTTCAAGTTTCATTTCTTTTGCTTTTTGTAAGCTTCTTACTTAATCCATTTTTCTTCTTCACATAGGTTTAGAATTTCCATATTTTTTACTCTTTAGATGGTGACCTTTGAAATTTCATACTGTACATTTATCTTTAGAAAAGTCTGAAGTTAAATCATATCCTACTGTCACTCCTGAACTATTCAATAACCACGGAAAAATTTACTCAAATCACTTGCAGGCTATTATTGTCATTTACCTCATTGTTGTCTACTACTGTTTAAGCCATTCAGAATAGGTTTTCTGACCACCATGGAAATAAGCAAAATACACAATTATAAGAAGTAGAGAATGCCAACCATCTGAAAATTAAATAATGTATTTATAAACAATCCGCAGGTCAAAGGATAAATCACAACAGAAATTTAAAAATAGTTTTGAACTCATTAGTTCCTTTTGTTCCCTATTCTTCTCTGGGAAAAGCGTGAAAAATGAAGTTTTGTTTTTTTTTTTTTTTTTAAGTTTTGGTTAACACAGGGTATTGAAGACATTTATCTTACTGAATTTCTCTCAAATAGGAAAAACAGTTCAGACGAGATCGGGCGCGTTCAGGGTGGTATGGCCGTAGACAGGAAAAACAGTTCAAACCAGAACATTATTGATTATTATTACTATATATCTTAGAAAGTTAAATTACAGGAATAACCACTAAGAATTAGCACACACATTCATGCACATATTCATAGTTATGACTTATTAAAGTAGGTATTTAATATCTGATTCAAGGTACATATTATAATATCTATTTCATTTGAACTTAGATACTAAGTAAGAAATATAAATTGACTATTTACAAATCATAGCTTATCTGTAACTCATCTTAACATGGATATTACTAAACTGTTCAGAAACCTGACCAATGTATTTCCCAAACTAATCTACAGATTCAACACAATCCTATCCAATCCCATCTGCCTATTTTTTTCAGAAATTGACAAGCTGATCCTAAAGTTCATATGAAAATGCAAGGGATCCAGACTAGTCTAAACGATATGGAAGAAAGGAACAAAGTTGGAAGAATCACTTTTGGTGACTTTATTTTTTTTTTAAAGATTTTATTTATTTATTTATTTATTCATGAGAGACACAGAGAGAGAAAAGGCAGACACAGGCAGAGGGAGAAGCAGGCTCCATGCAGGGAGCCTGACATGGGACTCAATCCCAGGTCGCCAGGATCACGCCCTGGGCTGAAGGCGACGCTACACTGCTGAGCCCCCCGGGTTGCCCACTTTTGGTGACTTCAAAACTTACTACAATGCTACAATAATCGAGACAATGTGATACTGGCATAAGGCTAGACATATAGATCAGTAGACTAGAACTGAGACTCCAGAATAAACCCTTACATTTATGATTAAATGATTTTTGACAAGAATGCCGAGACAATTCAACAGGGAAATAATACTCTGTTTCAACAAACGGCGCTGGGACAAGTGAATATAACATGCAAAAGAATGAAGTTAGACGCTTATGCCACATCATACACAAAAGTTAAATTCAAAATAGATAAAGGGCCTAAATGAGAGAGCCTAAACCAGAAAATGCTTAGAAAAAACATGCATATAAATCTTTGTGACCTTGGATTAGACAATAATTTTTCAGATGTGATACCAAAAACGTGAAAGTGCAAAAGAAAAACAGATAAATCAGACTTTATCAAAATTAAAAACTTTTGTGCTTCAAAACATGAAATGATGACCAACGGAAGGGGAGAAAATATTTCAAAGTCATGTATCTGACAAGAGACTTATATTAAGACTACATAAAGAACATAACAATATAAATAAAAGAAAGAACTCAACAATAAAAAACAAACATCCCAATTTAAAAATGGGCAAAGGATTTGAATAAATATTTATCCATAGAAGGTATACTGATGGCCAATAAGCACATGAAAAGACGTTCAACATCATTAGTCATTAGGGAAATGCAAATGATAACCATAAAAATGAGACACTACTTCCAACGCATCAGAATAAGTAAAATCAGAAAGACAGACAAGAGTAAGTGTTAGCAAGGATGTGGAGAAACTGGAACCTTCATGCATTGCTGGCAGTAAATGTAGTCACTTTGAAAACAGTTTGTAAGTTACCCAGCAACAACAACAACAACAATAAGCATGAATTATGATCCAATGATTCCACTCCTATGAATTACACCCAGAAGAAATGAGAACTTGGTCCACCCAAAAATTTGTACACAAACATTAATAGCAGCAGTATTCACAATAGACCCAAAGTGAAAACAACCCAATGTCCGTCAACTGATAATTGGATAAACAAAGTATGGTCTATCCATCCAACAGAATACTATTCAGCCAAACAAAGGATTGAAGTCCTGATACATGCTTACAACATGAGTAAACTTTGAAAATCCTGTGCTAACTGAAAGAAGTCATTCACAAAACACCACACCACAATCACACTCACAGAAAATGTCTAGAATAGGCAAATCTATAGAGACAGAAGGTAGGACAGTGGTTGCCAGGGCTGGGGCAGGAGGAAACAGACAGTAATCACAAATAGGTATGGGGTTTCTTTAGGGATAAAGAAAATGTTCTAAAATAAGAGATAGTGGTGTTGGTTGCACAATTATGTGAGCATACTAAAAACCACCGAATTGCACATTTTAAAGTGGTGAATTTTACAGTATCTGAATTGTATTTCAATAAAACTGTTATTCAAAAAACGGGGGAAAAAAACTTCACTAATAATATGTGTCTACCTGCTTCATTAAAGTTAGATGCCTTATTTTAAGAATTCTTTGGTTATTTATTCGGGTCATACTTGACTTGAAATACACTGAAAAATAACTATTCTTGTTTTTCTTGGGGCTGGGGAGAAGCTAACATTGTAGGCTGCCTTTCATTTTCTCACTCACCTGCCTTTGCTGAAGAGGGACGAGACAGTTTCTGGCTATAGATGTGTGCAGCACTTTGGAAAGAGGAAAAGGGGCCAATGGTGTAACTGCCTGATCGACAGCGTGGCAGGCCGGCAGGGCTTGGTACGTTCTGTGTCCCAGGATGTATGGAGGGAGATGCAGTGTCAGGGACTGTGCTCAGTAAAACTGTTGGCTGGTGAGACATGCTGGGGACAGCTGGAGAAATCTGAGATAAAGAACAATGGTGGCCAGGCCCTGGGGAGAGGTCAGAGGTTGTAATAATAGATGACAAATGGGTATTGGGAATTTTCTGCAGAAGAGTAGCAGCAGGACCAGAGAAAGAAGCAGAGGAAGAATTTGTATAGACTAATTTAGCCTCTTTTTCTGCTGAAGTGGTAAATCCTATTAAAACAAAAACAAACAAACAAAAAACAAAACAGATCATTTTAGGAAAAACTGACATATAATCTCTATAAAACATGAAGTAAACATTTTTTAAATATCAAAATAATGTTAGCATGAAACAGAAATCATGACAGAGACTTTAGCGAGTGTTCATCATGAACTTAGCGAATTGTACCTACCAAGACCACCTGGCACAGAAACAGTTCATTTTTAGTTCTAAAAGCTGGAGTTGAGACTACCCCCATCAACCAGAGCAGGTATTTTACACATTAGGGCATTAGGACAAGGTTTCTGGTAGTGACAGCTAACTCCTCTCTCTCTGCTTTTCACCCTTCTGGGGTGGTGGTGGGGGCAAGTACTCAGAATTTCTAACTATTAAGAAAATGAAAAATTTCTCAGAAGGAAATAGGTTATCAGTAAATAGGAAATTCTAAGGGAAGAGAAAGAACAAAGAAAAGGAACTTCTTGGGGATAATGCCTTATGCTTTAGAATCATTTACTATCTGATGACCTTTTTTTCTCCTTTTAGGAACTTATGAGAGAGCAGCAAACCTATGTATGTTTGAAGTCACTCACGAGATAATTTATCAGAGTGAATTTCTGTTGCCTGCTGCTGTTTGGGTTGCTTTATTTTCACTTCTTCCATCGTTGCAGGGTGGTCTGAAACAGAAAATAAATACGGACCTTAGGCTCTCCTACCAATCAAATGCTCTACGTCTAATCCTGTTTCTAAAATATAACACACCTAATAATCAATCCCAGGAACACTGCATACCCCATCATATTTTCCCAAGGCTGGTCATACCCACTAGCCCTGTTGAGTGGGCAACCAATCGAAAGATTACCAACTATCCCTGACCCCAGCTCCAGCTAACTGAACCAGAGAAAAACGCCATCCATGTCCAAGCTAGGACATGCCTGGAGAAAAAAAAAAAAAAAAAGTAATTAAGGGCAACCAGATGCCTCTACCAAGAATTCAAACTAGGGGAAACTAACAGACCAGGCTGGTTGGTGGTACCCACTGGAGCAAAGAAGTCCTAATATATATGGAGCAGTGCCAAGAGATAGAAAGAACAGCCACAATATTTGTTGGCCTGATACCTGGATACTACAATAGTTCTGGGTTTGTTTCTGAGACAGAGAGTAGTGGGTCAAAAGGGGCAGAGGGAAAGGGAGAAAGAGAATCTTAAGCAGGCTGTACACCTAATGCAGAGCCCAGCACAACTCCCAATCACAGACCTAAGTGGAAATAAGGGTCAGATGCTTGACCGCTTGAGGAGCCCAGACATCCACAATAGCTCTGTATCTTAAAGTAAACTTCTTGGTTTTACTTGAGCAAGCTGAGTTTACTTGAGATAGAGTGACCAGTATATTCATGACAAAAATCACTCTAATAAATTTCCACTCTAATAAACTAGTTTTTTTCTACCAGAGAATTTTGAAAACAGGACAGCCAGAGCTAATCATGTACTTGGGGAAATACTCCAAAATCTTTTTCAAGAGCTAGTTCATAGAAAAATTTACAAAAGGCCATTTTATCTATCATCTTTCAGAATGAAAGAATAAGGACATAAGAATTACTTTCTGTCCACCACCACTAGCAATGGTGATACTATCACACATGTTTGCTCATGTTGAAATCAGTCCAGATACCATTAGATGTTATAATGTTCCCTTGATTGGGACTTGCCTACTGCCTCTCTGGTTATTCTTGATAGGTATAAATACGTATAGATCTTATTATGTAGAGGTTGTCCTTAATACGTAAGCCCCAAAATTTCCAGGGACCCACGTGTACAAACAGATGCTGTCAGTACATACTGTCAGGGCTTCCCCACTACTGTCAGGGGAGAAGTTACTATCTGAATGCCAATGGAGGCCCTCACCTCCCTAGGTTATAGACCATGCTTTTCTCTACCCCAATCTCCTTATAAGAATTCCTCAGCCTCTTCAGGCTCCCTTCTTCAACACTGTTATAGGAGCTTTTCAGAGCTTCCACCAATCTTCTTCCTAACTTTACTCACCCAACTCTATCTACTAGACAATAAACCTTATGAAGTCAAGGTACCATGACAGCCCTGTATACCTAAGTCAGTGTATACCTCGCAACTATCATAATGTCTGACACACAGCAGGTGCTTGGGGAGAATGTGTAGAAGGAACGAATGAACAGATCAGTAAATTAACTTCAGAACTTGGATATGCCAGGAGAGCTCAAAAAAGAGGGCTGGGAGATTTCTAGAAATATCATTCTATATTTTATACAGTGAGCTCAGTATAAATAGGCTTTTGTAGACTAGCCTCTAAACTGAAACAGTTTTTAAACACTAACAGTTTCTCTGGGAAAACTCACTCCACATTTTAAATGACTAATTATCCTCGCTATTTTCATATTAGACTACGGTAGTCTTAACAGCAGGGAACGGGTCTCTATCTTTGAATTTTGTGCTTAGCATACTGACAGAATTAGTGTAGATTTCCTAGGTCTTATACTTCACATCTAGATCTTAAATGAATCTTACTTTAAGGCACAGAGCTTTGTTTATAACAGAACTGCTATTTTTTGATCATATGACATGAGCTAGAGAGCTTAGGAACCCCAATCATGGAGTTCCCCAGCAATGAGCTCTTTTAGAAATGCTTAGGGGACTTCAGGGCTATCACAGGGACTGAAAGCTTATAGGCATTTAGGATGTGGAACTAAGGATATTAGATACCCCGCCAGGTATGGAATATTTCCATGCAACAAAACATTCTTCTGTCCCAAATACTGATGCTGCTAAGCCAGAGGAAGCAAGAAATTTAAAAAGAATGGGAAATAACCATTAGGAAAGGCAGAAGAGCACAGATTAAGAGCATAAGCTTTGAATCACGCAAAGGTTCAAATTCCTGTCCTGCTGCACGGTAAAGGGGACACTTGAGCAAGTTACCCAGTCTCTTTCAGCTTCTGTTTTCTCATCTGTAAGAAGTTGAATAATAGCACCTACTCCAGATGGGTTTTTTAAAGTAAAAAAAAAAATAGATCATGTCCAGCAAATTACAGTAATATGAGCAATCGCTTAAATGTTAGCTATTGTTAGCTTGTCTTAAAAAGCTCTCTGCTGTTAATTTTCGTGTAAAAAAAAAAAAATCAGACCACGTCCCTCTTCTGTTCTGAGGACAAAAATGGAATGCCTCATCTTCAACCCCCATGCTACAAAATTTCACCATCTATGAGTCTGTTAGTGCTTACATAGCACATGACTCTTTGCTCTCTTTTGCAAAGTTTCATTTTTTTCACTTGTTCTTATTTTTCATTAATAAACCAGCATACTTACCACCCTTTGCCCCACTATCAGAATAATTGTTGCTGTTTTTAGAACTTTTTGAGTGAGTCCCCAAGAAGACACTTGCAGACTTGTTTTTTTGGGTATAAAAAGTCAACACCTCCTCCAGTTCAGCCTCACTAAAACAAGGAGAGAGAGTATGGTCAGAACAGGAAAGGTGTTCTGGAAAATCTTTCCACCAGATTTTATTCTGGAAATAGAGTCAGTTGGAGAAGGGGAAAATGAAAAGTACAAGCTGAAAACTCCCTATTAATACATGTAACATTAAATAGGAATACAAACAAAGTAGTCCAAAAAACTGAAGAATGATAAGGCTTTCTTCATTCCAAAGTGAATTTTCAAGATACACTGTCTAATAACAGTAGCCAGAAGGCATATGTGACAATTTATGTTTAAATGAATTAAAATTAAGTACCTTTAAAAATTCCTCTCAGACTAGCCACATTTCACATACTCAGTTAGCTACAACACAGAAAGTTCTATTGGACAGCCATGCTCTATAGCAGAGGTCAACAAACTACAAACTTTACAGGGTGAAACCTGACGACCTGATGACCAATATGTTTTTGTATGGTTCCCCGCTAAAAAATGGTTTTTATCTTTTTAGAGAAGAATATGCTATGAAGACCACATGTATCCTACAGTCTAAAATATTTATTATCTGGCCCTTCATGGTTTGCTCACCCCACCTTCAGGTAACTGAAGTATGTTCACTAAAGAAGCCACTTGTCATTTTAATTACCTATGCTAGAAATAAGGAGACCAACCAGTGTAATGATGGAAGACTTCCCTAACCATCTATATAATGAAGGAGACTAAATTAGATGGTCACTTCAGATATTGAAATTATATGTACTTTAGAAACATCCACAAAATGGAAAGTATAAAAAATTTGCTGAGGACCTACATGATTCTTCCAGTAAACACATTACTCATGGATTTTCTAACACCTGTGGCAGCTTAGCTTCTCAGTGGCCTTCTGCATTTTTTTCCTGGAGCCACGCTGTATTCCAAATAAGTGGCCTTTAAATAGGCAAAATATTCCTACATTATCACAAAGAACCTATATCCCATCTTCCAAACACACTGCAATGACAACCTAGGAAACCACTTCTATGAATCGCAGAGTAAATCCCATGGTCTCCAGAGTAGCCAAGTGCCACAAAGTAATTACCTCAATTACCTTAAAGATTTATATGCAGCTGACGTTATAAATGAGTGAATGCCTCTGCCTGTCTGTGTGCTTTATTTGGCCCTCCACAGAAAGGGAAAGGTTAAGGTTGGTCAAAATACAAACTGCTTGAGGCCTCCTCTCTTATCCTTTGCCCACTTCATAATCTGTGTTTCCTTGCCTGACTCCTGCAGTCTGGATTACCAACCTCGACAGAGGTATCCACGTATCACCCCAAACATAATAAACGAGCTGATGCCGACAGAGGTATCCATATACCACCCCAAACATAATAAATGAGCTGATGCTAGCTCAAATTTCCAACAATCAACACTTAATGTACAACAGTAATAAACACATTCTAGCATATTTTACCTCAAACTCTGTATCATTTATTTTAGTACATGTAATTCATGTTTAGCATCCAGCTAGGCCTGGTAGGGGAATACACACTTTTCAAAAAGTTCGCTTTTTTTTATATTGTAGGGATCTTGAAGATTCCCTAGGGGGAACTAAATGTTAATCTTTTAACTTTTAAAGTAGAGTCATTTTCTGATCATACTCTAGTTTTTCTTTCCTATTTTTATAATATTGATATGAGAAACTGTTTCTTGCTTTATTTCTATACCTGCATTATCAATCATACAATTCAAGACCCAAGAATGTCAACAAAATAACATTACACTATTATAAACTCCTACAAAATGATGTATTTGTTTGCTGTGTGTTTTTAAGCACACAACAGTGAGGCTATACTTAGGTCTGTGCAAGGTCTTAAACACAGATCATATTATCTGGGTGACTGATACCTAACATCTGGATTTAACTTCATAAACCAACAGAGAATTGATTTTCTCCTATACAGTGACATTGATGGTTGAAGACTAATTTGTGGGGTTATACAGATGCTTTATCCTTTTTTTGAGTACTTTTGCATGACTCTCTGTTTTAGAAAAAGGCCCTCCAGTATGAGTCTCACAAAATTTTAAATGAAATGCCTTTGTTACCTCTTCCTTTGGAAACATATTGTAAATGGGCAAAATGGCTTGACTGATTTATATTAAGATAGAGCTGAACGCTGAGATTTTCAATCCTTAAAGGCTAACTCTACACATGAAGGACTTGTTCTATTTTATATAAATTAGGCGTAACCCTCACAGTGCTGAGAAACTGCCAATTCCTCAACCCACTCAATGTAGGCAAAATTTGGTCATCACCACTGCATCAGTAGGTCAGGGATAAATTCAGATCCAGTAAACACTAGAAGCCTCTTAACTTCAACTTTCCAAAGGGCTCTCTCAGCACTTTAAGTGGTGCGTACTTTGAAGGCTGTCTAGAAATACAGCCCAGATACCCAGCAGCAGTGTTTTGATAACTGAAACCATGACAACAACAACATAATTGGCTGAGATATGGAGAAGCCAAGCCTATGAAACCCTTTTTCTCATTCTGAAAGTGATTTTACTCATAGCCATACATTAGAAGCAAAGAAATATTAAGAACTGAATGGGGCAGTATGGAATATAGAATAAGATAATTTTTATTAATCAAGAATATCTTCTACCTTGCTTGTCTGATGAACTCCTGAAAGTTTTCTGTATTCACCCCATCTTCTTCCTCTTCTTCAAGTTTCTTCTTCAATTTCTTTTCAGCCATCTGTTCTGTTTCCTACCCAGTTCCCAACCCACACAGTAAAATAGTAAGACAAAACTAACTCCTGATAAATGTACACTTCATCATCTGGTTTCATTACCATTGGGTTTTGTCTTTATAGTTCCTCCACATACTGTTGCCACCTATGAATTTGATATATTATTCTCTGCCATTATTTCATAAAACATTTTGGAATTTCCAAATAAAAGTTGCAGAATAAATATAAATTTTTATAATGTTTTCACTTTCTGCCCACATAGCCCATTCAAAAAGAACTTTTTATAGTAGCTTACTAACATCTGTGCTCACATTTGCAGCCTTAACAGTATGACAACAGAGATACTGTATGTGGTTACAATTAGGGAGAGAAAATATAGATCTTGGAAGGTACTCCTATACCAGCAACCAAACTGAATGAATTCTTCATTTATATAAGACATACCAAAATTCTCAACAGATCAAGAGTAAATTGCATCTATTTGATGTATTGATATTCAACTAATCATTCCATACATCTTTACAAATGCCATTTAAATGTCCAGGCCTCAGTTTTCCCTTGTGCAAATTGATTGTACTTTTTTCTCCCAGATATTGATATTTCCAAAGTATTCTAAGACCGTTTGGGTATCAGATGCTTTGCAAAATATTCTACTAAGTAGTATATTCCCTGGTCTTAGTTGTAAAATGATGTCACTTTCTAAAATGTTCTCGAATACATAATAATTCTCTCAGGAAAGAAGATTATGTCATTCCATTAAATCCACAGTTAATTTGCTCTCAAATAGTCAACTCACCACTGTCTATAGGCATAATAATGACAATGCAAATTCACATAGTCCAGGATTCATCTCAGATACACCACCACTCAAAGGGAATATACTTTTAGATAAAGTGGTAACTATGACCACTGGACTTTCAGAAGTATTAAGTAGCTTTTCAAACCAGCTAGGTCAAGGGGTGAGGTCCAGTTCCCTGTAACCGTCCTCTCCACCCAGCTAGACATAGGCTTCTAGCCCACTTCTAATAGTGTATGACAATCTAAAACACAAGAGTAAAAAGATAAACCACCTACCTTGTTGTACACAATAATAAAATCACCGAGTTGGTGGGCCAAGATTCTTCTGCGTTCCAGAAGTGCCAATCGTCGACTGGGTAATACCATCCTCAGTGAGTGCTGGAGGTTACTGGATGCTCGTTTAAGGAAGCGAACCACTAGCTCCTATTAAGAGTCATCAAGGGAAAAAAGCAGGGATTGTGCTAAGTAACAGAAGACAAGCTATGAAGGGTTTACCCAACAGAGATATGAGAACAGGTACACTATACATTTCAACAAATAAGACCCAGAACAAAAACATTAGGTATAAGAAAGATACAGAGAGATAAAACAAAAGAAACTTATTCTCTTCCTTCAATAAGCTAGCAATCAGAAAATCAAAATAAATATGTACGCAAATAATTATGCATTAATGAAGTATCTGTAAAAGTAACACAACTCACATGCAAATGGTACTATAATTCAAAGGGCAGACATCACTTCTAAAAGGGTGATCAGAGAAAGCTATTTTCCCTAAGGAAGTACTTAGCTGTCAAGGAGAGACAGTGAAAATTAAAACTATGGAAACAGATGAAATCGGGATCCCTGGGTGGCGCAGCGGTTTAGCGCCTGCCTTTGGCCCAGGGCACGATCCTGGAGACCCGGGATCGAATCCCACGTCGGGCTCCCAGTGCATGGAGTCTGCTCCTCTCTCTGCCTCTCTCTCTCTCTCTCTCTCTCTCTCTCTCTCTGTGTGTGTGACTATCATAAATAAATAAAAAAAATTTTTTAAAAAAAAGGAAACAGATGAAATCATCAAAGGTAAGAAGGAAGAGAAAGAATACAGAAATATCCATACTTAGAGATAGGAAAGAGGAGAAAGAATCAGAAAAACAAAAAGCCCAGGGTAGATATACCAGAAATTTACCCAAAAAAACGAGGAGAAAATGAATGCCATGGAAGCTACGGGGGTTAAAGGCCCCATGTCAAAAGCTTCCAAGAGGCCAGAGCTGAAGAGGACCAGGGCCAAGACAAGACCCTAGATCTGGTCCTTGTGAGGTAAGTTCAATAAAACACTCTCAGTAGAGCAAAGGAAATAGAAGGAAGAGGCTAAGAAGAGCACGGGTAATAAAGAATAGAAACAGCTAATTTAAAAAGTTTAGTGATAAAGAAAAAGAAGGAACCAATACTCTATGCATGAGAGGTGGTGACTTGTTTTTCCATCCCCAAGGGGTAGGAGGCTGGTGAGGAGGCACACTGGGAAGTCATTAAGGGGGACAGAGTATGGGTCACTTGGTGTGGGGCAAAGGATTTTAAAATCTGAACAAATACCAATTAGATCAGAGTATCACAAATGCTTCAAAGACAGATTCTGTGAGACCAAGGGCCTTAAGGATAATTGTTCCTTCCCTCCTCACCTGCCCTCAACATGATAAAATTGCCCTAAGATGACAGATTTGAGGACTTTCTATTGTTGGACGTCCTGTTGAGTCACATGATAAACAATCTCTAACCCTACCATGTAGCAGAGAAGACCATTCTATCCCTACCTTCCTCACCAATAAGACCACCACCACAATCGTCAGGGAACGGCTTAGGGCTTGCTCTCTAGATATACTTCCAAACAGGAATGCACAGAACTGGTATTAAATTTTGTGGTGATGATCCTAAGTATTCTTGTAAAAAGCAAAAACAAAATCAACCCCGAAATCCTGTGTGAATTCTAAGTCAGCACTTGAAGCAGTTATTCTATTCTGAGCTCTTCTTTTATTCCTTTAATTTGATTTTGGTTCATTGTCCCTTGGTGCCAATTTACTCCAGCACGAAGGAGTAGCCTCAGAACCAGAGGTTGGATTTCATGGCTCTCCTCTGCTGCCTTTGCTATTGGGGTGGTTTTAGCTGTTACATTAAAACATTATTTTTTCACAGTGGAGCAGACAAACTGACTCTCAAAAAAAGGCAGTTTCAATTTTCCACTTGGAAAGAGCAGAGCTAACATTTTCCACTGATGGTTGAAGGATTATTCACAACACACAAGGTTTTATCTCTGGGTTGTATTGGCTACTTTAAATTCACAAGTTGTTTTCTGGGATTTCCATCATGTTTTTATAATCAGCCTGGCATAGTGATGTCTCTCGTATGTGGAGAACTGAAAATTGTGGTAGGGTCATCACCGTGTGAGACAAAGGATGCAGCTTTCTCAGACTGAAAGGTCTTCTTCTTGCCGGTGACAGATCTCTATGGTCAAAAGGCTTATATAGAAGGGCTGTGGTTTCTTCTCTAAGCCTTGACCTCAGCAAAGAGCAGGAAGTTCCCTGTCATTTCAATTCACAAAGAAAAACCTTGCTATAATACTAAATCCCAGGCATGTTGAAATGACTGATACACAGCAAAAATTATCACATAGTTTCCAGTCATCTAATAAGAACCTTGTAAGATTTCAACCAGTAGAGAAATGTTAAAATGGAGGATGGGACATTCTTGGAGGGCCTATGGTAAAGTGCAGACTTTCACAGTGTTAATGTGACCCACTCAGGATAGAAAACAAATGTCTTGTGATGCCTGGAAACAATGGAAGAGCAAATAATGTACAACTGTCACCTGTGAGTTCAAGTTCTAATCTTACCACACACAAGCTGTGGGACAAAAGGCAAATTACATCCCAGCTCTGAGTCTTTGTTGTCTCATTTATGAAATGGGGATGAGAGTGCCCACATCAAAGAGTTAATACAACATGAAGTTGTTTGAGAAAGGGCCCGAAACTGTTGTTCTTTCTGAGGGCTTTGCACAAGGCCTGATATCTAATAAGCAATCAATTTCCATTTTTAGAACGAAATCAACTGATGCCCTCAACACACAATATGATGAATGTGGCCCCAGATCAAAGATGTACTTCATATTAAAGTAAGAGAAATCTATAAACTATAGTGTGGAACAACCCTTTTGCAAGAAGAATATATTGCTCTTTACCCTAGTTGAAAAAGAAGAAAAAGAAGAAGAAGGAGGAGGAGGAGGAGGAGGAGGAGGAGGAAGAGGAGGAGGAAGGGGAGGAAGAGGGGGAGGAAGGGGAGGAGGTGAAGAAGAAGAAAAAGAGGAGGAGGAGGAGGAAGAGAAGAAACAGGGAAAGTAAAAAAATTCCAATAAGAAGAGCCTCACCATCTGTTCATCCTCTTTGGCAGCCCAACTGGCACTGAACGTTTGACCTCCACTGTCTTTCATCAGGCGAATTTGAACATGCTGGAGATAGGCAGAGAATGCTATACGGGCCTGCACTTTGCTATGGAAATCCAAAACAACATACCGTTATGAGACAGAATGGTAGACCAACCAATGTATACCTGCCTCACTAAAAATGGACTGTGAGGATCCTCCTATTAGGAGAGCTAAAAAAATGAAGCCCATCAAATGTCAGAGAGGGAGACAGAATATGAGAGACTCCTAACTCTGGGAAACGAACTAGGGGTGGTGGAAGGGGAGGTGGGTGGGGGGTGGGGAGGACTGGGTGACGGGCACTGAGGGGGGCACTTGATGGGATGAGCACTGGGTGTGATTCTATATGTTGGCAAATTGAACACCAATAAAAAAAATAAAAATAAATTTAAAAAAAATGAAGCCCATCATGCAGTTATTAAAGATTTCCTCTACAGAGTAAAGGAGATTTTTTTTTCTATTAAAGAATCCTATTGGGATCCCTGGGTGGCGCAGCGGTTTGGCACCTGCCTTTGGCCCAGGGCGCGATCCTGGAGACCCGGGATCGAATCCCACATCAGGCTCCCGGTGCATGGAGCCTGCTTCTCCCTCTGCCTGTGTCTCTGCCTCTCTCTCTCTCTCTCTCTCTGTATGACTATCGTAAATAAATAAAAAAAAATTAAAAAAAAAAAGAATCCTATTTACTTTCTCATTATGAACATGGGAGAAAAAAAATCAAACGAGAATAGGAAATCAAGTTTCCTACTCTTATACCTTATCTCTGAACTTTTTAACAACTTTCTTGGGGGAAATGGAAAGGAAAAGTACTGAATCTTCACAATAACATTTGCATTAATGTAGAAAGATTTTTCTGCCTTGGAGGCTCTTATATACTTATCAGTTGGTGCAAAAGAATGCTTTTGCTATGGCAACTGGTATTTCTCGTGTGCAAAGGCCTCCAACGCAGGAAATAGATAAATCCTACAAAGGAAGTTTTGAGACCAAATTTTAAGGTCACGCTTTTCTCAACTACAAGACAGGAATGGCTAGAGCCCAGAACAAATGAGTGAGGTCCAACAGAGTTTGGCATAGATGAATTTACAGGCTAGGACGAGCCCAGATGTTCAGTGAGAAAAAGAAATCTTTACATATAGTAAAAGGCACCTGAGCGACACCACTAAAAAAAATCCAGTGGCTTTCTGCTTGGTGGTCCGGGTTGGAAATAAGGAAATCTGTTCAAGCTATGGTTTAGAAGACAGAAATACCAGAAACACACTGATGATTTTCACTTCAGCTGCTAATTGTACCAGATCTGTTTTCCTTCAGGAGAGACTTTGGTTACTTCAGCTGATCGGCCTTCTGACACTCTAGCCAAAATTACATCAGCGAAGATTAGGGCCCAACACAAACTTTGTTTACAATCCTCACACATGCAATCACTGAAGGCTTTCTACTCACTGTTCCTCCGAAGTTGGATAAAGAACTTGTTCGGAGTAAACTGGACATCCTAAGGTCTAGGTCTAACTTCAATGTATATGACAGAGGGTTTGAATGGGAGGGGAGTCAGGGAAGTAGATTTGCTCTGGAGAGTTTAATACAGAAGATCTTCAGAGCATAAAATATTAATTCAAGCTACATCTTTTTTACTAATGGGGACAGTTTATGGGAACACAATATAATTCTGAAAAAACAAATATTTACTTTCAAATGTTTCTCAACAAGGACAACACTTATGTTCTTGTTCACCTGGAGACCATATGCTACTTTCCCCTCAACCATTCTTGTAAGAGGTAAGCCTTACCTCACACAACAAATTCTTTTCAAGACAAAATAAATGAAAAAGATTCCTAATTTTGGTCCAAAAATTCACTTGCTATGGAATGAGATAGAAATGGAACATTTCAGGGACGCCTGGGTGGCTGAGCGGTTGAGCGTCTGCCTTTGGCTCAGGGTGTGATCCCTGGGGTCCTGGGATCGAGTCCCACATCAGGCTCCCTGTGGGGAGCCTGCTTCTCCCTCTGTCTATGTCTCTGCCTCTCTCTCTCTGTGTCTCTCATATACAAATAAAATCTTAAAAAAAAAATCGCATGTTTCCGATATCTCCAAAGTAGCAGAATATCTGATTTTATTAATTGTTCCTCCAATGCCAAAACATGAAGGTCTTTTGGATAGGGAATTAGCACTTCGAAGATGAGATTTCAATCATTATTTTGTTGCAAATCATTGCCATCAATCAAATGAACAAGTCCTAAATTCTCCATTTCTATAACCCTTATTGAAAGGCCTCCAGGGCTGTTAATTCTGAGACTGGACACACTGGTCGGCTAGTCATTTGCCAACAAACCAAAAAAGATGAAAGAATGAAAGCTAGAATGATTTATACCAAAGAAAGCTATTTTTAAAAAATAAAAGTTTTTATGGATCCTCAGTATAAAAAATACACAACTCAAGGCTAGGGCCGAGAGTCTCGAATCCTTGCCATGACCTCCCTGAGACCCCTCTGTAGCCATGGAGATGTCCCACAGAATGATGGGAAGCTCCAGGGAAAGAGTCTGAAAACCACTCATTTGCATTAACAGACCAGGCAACTACAACAGTTTACTCACTGAAAGTCAGATTCATGAGATTTATGAAGAAATAATTTATTTCTACAACAGCTAAGTAGAATGTTATTGCTGGAAAGGGCCTTAGAATATAGGCCAGTGGTTTTCAAATGTTCTATTTCAATTCAGTGGAATCTTTTTTCCCCTCCAGAAAACACAGTTTGAAAAACATGTGTCTAACCCCATACCTTGGCCTGAACGAAAAAGACATTTGAGGCGTGGAGAAGCTCTCTGGCCAGCCCATGACCATCATGCAGTCAGCTCATAAGCACTGAAATGTGAGGGTCCAGGTCTTCTGACACTTCAGTGTGCTCTCCACGACACTGTTCCAAACCTTAACCCGATCTCCCCACTCCACCAAACCCCCAATGTCACCCATCACCCTTGCAATATAAGGACTACCTCTAACTTAGAAAATAAAGGCCAAAATGAATAAGTACCTAACCTTCCTTCCCTTTTAATGTCTAACTATTGCATTCGTCCCATAGTGCTTTCTTTCTGACTTATGGGAGATGCCCTCTTTAGGGCCTTCCTTCCTTTAGGGCCTTTCCCATCAATATATCCATTTCTGCATCTCTAATCCTCTTTCCTTTTTTCTTTTTGTTACAATTTTATGCATGTATGTATTTAGAGAGTATGAGCAGGGGGAGGGGGAGGGAGAGAAAGAATCTCAAGCAGACTGCTCTGAGCTCAGAGCCTGATGCTGGGCTTGATCTCACAACCCTGAGATCATAAACTGAGCCAAAACCAAGAGTCAGACGCTTAACTGAGCCACCCAGGTGCCCCAATCCTCTTTCCATCAAACCCTTCCCCTGGTCTATAAATAAGCTCCAGAATCCCCATCTTTAAAAAAACAAAACAAAGCGGGCAGCCCGTGTGGCTCAGCGGTTTAGCGCCGCCCTCAGCCCAGGGTGTGATCCTGGAGACCCGGGATCGAGTCCTCTGTCAGGCTCTCTGCATGGAGCCTGCTTCTCCCTCTGCCTGTGTCTCTGCCTCTATCTCTCTGTGTGTCTCTCATGAATAAATAAAATCTTAAATAAAAAAAATAAAAATACAAACACAAACAAAACACAGCAAAAAACCCAAAAAAACCTTTTCTCTTAGCTTGCTCTCACTGATGCATTCTCACTTCCTTTTCACTGCCAAATCCTCTGAAAAAGTTAGCTTGCACTTGCTTTCTTTCTTCCTCAACTCACAATGTCTCACAGCTCACAAGTTGGCCCTGGGTCAGAAATGCAGGAGTCTCTTTTCACTCTTCAAGCTCTCGCAGGCTGTCTGCAGCACTCTACAGCTTGGAACTCTCATTCTGGAGCTTCTACCACACTCCCTACTAACCCCTCTCTAACTACTAGTTCCTATCTCTTTTCTATTAAACCCTGGTTTTCCCCAGGGCTCAATTCTCCTCCTTTTCTCCTGTCTGCACTTGCCAGATTACAGTGAATTGGACAAGTTCCTCCACTCTGAAGTTCTTAATTATCAACTACCCAATTCTGTTTAACTCTGACCTTCACTTATCCACTGAACAACTTCATCCCAGAACCTTTCTGCCTCAGTGTGTCCCAAAGAAACGTATTTCTATCCTGAGACCAACTCCTGTGCTCCTTATACTGACTGACGGCATCACCAAGTTGCTAGGTTTTGGAAAACCCAGCCTCTCTGGAGTTCTTCCATCTACAGAGACCAAGCCCTGCCAATCTTCACTTGTAAATTTCATTCAATCCATTCCATTCTATCCATTCCTATAGCCATGGCTCAGGTTAAGCCTTTGTCTTCCTGGTTTGGGAATGCTGTGACAACCCTTAACTCACCTTCCTGCCTTTAGTTCCTGACCAATCACTGTCCCACAATGCACCCAGCTTTTACTTTCTAAATCCAGATCTAACCATTATCTATCTAGAAAATATAGTCTCAGCTCCTCTTAGAGCAAATGACATTCGTTTTTTTTTTTTGTCTTATCTCATACTGCATGCTTCTCTTCGTGTAACTCCATGACCCTAGTCTGTGTTTCTCAAACTTGCTGAGCTCATTCCAATTTCAGGGCCTCTAGACTTGCTTTTCTGTCTGGAACATTTTGCCCCCTAATATTCCATGATTTATCTCCTTCTTATCATTGAGGACTCACCTCAGAGGTTATCTCTTTATGCCTGAACAACACAATCTAAAGAAACCATGTGCCCAATCACACTCTAACACTATACCTTGTTCTACTCTCTTCACAGCACTTCTTACTGCCTGAAATGACCTTGTTTCTTTGTTTACCATCAGTCTTCTCCACAAGACCCTAGGTTCCATGAGTCTATCTTGGTCTCTGCTGTAACACTATATAGCCTAGCACAATTCCTGCACAGTGCAGGTACTCAATAAACCTCTGCTGAGGGGCTGATTGACTGGACTATCACATCTCTCTGCCTTTATTTCCTCTACTGGTACCTGTCACCTCACAGTCTTCCTGATATCTTGTTCACTGGCCAAAGCCTGGTTCAAATATTGCCACCTCCCTAATATCCCTCTAGCCTTCCCAGGCAAGACCAGTCACTCCTTTCTCTGTGTCCTTAGAGCACTCTGTCCATGTGGGGGCCTCTGCTGGGTAAGTATCCCTACACTAAACTGTGAGCCACTTGAACTCTGCGCTTTTAATGACTGACACTCAAACCCAACAAATATTTGTTGGGCCAGTGAGACGTGGGTTTGGATCACAGCTCTATACCTTGAAGAAACAACGTCTCTAAGGCTCAGTTTCCTTGACAGTAGTAATAATAATAAATTCAGTCATTTCCTTCCCAAGATTGCTGTAAGAAAACAAAAATGGCTGCAAAGCCACCAGCAAAGTCACCAGCAAAGTACCGGATATACAATACAAGTTATCAGTTTTACTGTTATAATTACCAAAAGGTACATACCTAAGATTGCCATTATCTTGCAGAATCTGCATCAGGTTAAATTTAGGCTCTGGCTCCTGAGTGTCAATTTTGCAGCATGATTCACCTTTATTATTCCATTCAGAAACTTTCATGGCATTTTCTTTGGGTGAATTTTCTACCATAACTGTCAATGAGGGGGTGTATTTGGCTTGATTTTCTCCAAGGGACCCTGCAGATTCCTCCTGGGAAGCCTCCTGTTCTTCATCTTCATTGTCCAATGCAACTTCTTCCTCCTCTTCACTCTCTGTCTCAGTTTTAACATTCATTTCAGCTGGTTGAGTGATCACTAAATGCGAAGAATCACTAATGTTGCTGAAAAAAGGATTAAATTTTCCTCTCTCCCAACACCTTCCTTTTATCTTTTTAGTAAAAACCCATTTCTAAGACCACAAAAGAGGCACAAAATGAGTAGCATACACATCACTCTCCAATGTATTCTAAAACCTATCTTCATCAGAGTTCATGTTTCCCATCATAATAGCAATGGCTCTCTCACAACTTCAGGCAAACATCTGGATAATCTCTACAGCGTGTTAGAGGCTTTCAGAAGGGCACCTTTTATGGAAGTAAAAAGAGCAGGGGAATATCTTTCTTTCCTACGTTTATTCATTATCTTTCTCTTTCACTGGTTTGGAAGGTCTGTGAGGACAAGGACCATATCTTTTTTATTCACCGATGAAACCCTAGTGACTAATGCGCCTGATACAGGTGCTCAACAAAGGAGGAAAGGAGGGGGAGAAAAAGGAAGTCAGTCAGTGACAAATAGACCTAGAAGATGGGAGAATCTGGGAGAGAAAGAAATTCCTCTTTGTCTGTTCATGTTTAAAATATTTATACCATTCAGCAATGTCAAGGGATGAACTAGATTTAATACCTAATCATGGAAAAAGCTGAACAATAATGGTCAGGATTTCATTAAACTTAAGCTAACGTATTTCTTTACATTTATGTTATCTTTAAATGTCCAGTATTTCTAGGGTATCAGATAGTTAAATGATGCTGAAGTAAGAGCAAAAGCCAAAATGTGTGTGCTTCAGTTATCCTTCAGTACAAATATTACAGAATGGAAGGTTTAAAAACTTATAATCTTTTTGAAATTCAGTTTCTGAGAAAAAGACTACACAAAAAATTAAGTGTATGTGATCGGGAAGGTTCTGATTCCTTAAGCATTAATTAAGAAGCTAATTAGACTGGCAAGACCTGAACAATGCAGTTTGGTGTAAGCTCACCAGCAAGTACCTGGGTATTTTGGCCTCATTGCCCTCAATCTGCCACTCCGTCGTCGACGTTTTCGCACCTCCAAAGACAGGAGCTTCCTCTCATACAGGGCAGCATGCAGTTTGGCCTTTGAATTCATACTCTCTACCTTCAATTCTGGTGCTCCATCAGCCGCTAGTCTATGGGAAAAAAAAATATGTATATATGGTAGGCACAGCTTTCAGAAAGTTATCTCCTTTATTCCAAGGCTAAGCCTGACAGAAGTCTGAACAATGACAGGTTGGGTATGGTACTTCTAGAGAATTCTAAAAGGTTTAGAAAAATAAATAGGAAAAACTGGAATCTACATTAAAACTGCAGTATGGCCTGTCTGAATTTGTTAAATATTCTGAACAAAAATATATCTGAAGACAGTGCTTAAGTGTTTTTACATATTCAGTCAGACTGGCTGACTATTCACTGCAGAGCCCATAAAGTGCTACCCAATGCCTTATACTTAGGGAGGACTGAGAGACACTGGCAACACTTTAATTCTTAAGCTGGGTGGTGGCTAGAGGTGTTTGTTTTGTTATTCATTATAATTTATTCAGACTTACCTAAATATTCTTCTAATGTATACACTATTGAATAAATACAGATTTAGCAGAGCTTGAGACGAGGGGAAGAATGGCTGATACCTGTGAATGTGGTAGCACAGAGCTAAGACTTACTAGGGAAATGTCTTAGTAAAGTTACCCAGGCCCTGAGATACCCCACATCTCAAGAGTTCCAATAACAGGAACTCATCTCTTAGAATCTACTTAGTTACAGGAGGAGGTGAGGGGAGTTGGCAGGGCCTCTCCAGATGTTGAATACAGGTCAGGGGTGAGAGAGGCACAGACAAGGGAGGGCAGCAGATGTTGGACAAAGCCAAGTTCAATCAGGTTGTGAATGGGAAATGGGATGGGAAGGGGATGGCACAGCTACATTAGGCATCAGTCAAAGTACGATAAATCCTAACTTTGTAAGTGACTGGTATCAGGTCCAATCCAAACAAACACCAGGCAAAGTATCACACAGGCAGAGGTAACTAGGTCAGCAAAGAATGAGAGGGATCTTGGCTACTGGGTCAGAAAAGAAGTATCCATGTCAGTATCTGAAAGCAGGCAGCTGACTCTATATACTCAAGAACTCAAGATCTAACTGCTTGGCTCTGAATTCTCTCAGAGAAGTGAACTCCCTAGAACTCAAAGCATATTCCTTTGAGGTGAAGGAATCATCCTCATTTCACTAGGAGTTTTCAATCTCTGACAATAATGGAAAGGCTGTGTCTTTTGATCTTTGTAGGAGTTTTAGGGATTTCTGAGTAGATAAACTGGACAGTAAATTTTCTAGAAACTCTAGAGCAGGAAATTGGGCCAAGAATAGGAATGGTCCTGACACATGGGAGCAGGAACCAGAAGCAAATTAATAAACTTTAAAAATAGTTCAAACCCAGCTTACCATAGTCCCAACAACTGAACACTGCACCCCCCCACACACAGTTGTGAAAATATTTTTTAGCCAATTAAATAAAAAAGAAACAAATCTAACATCTTAAAATAACAATTGTGAACTTTTAAATTTTTTATATTTTATTTATATTCAATTTGCCAGCATATAACACCCAGTGCTCATCTCATCATGTGCCCTCCTTAATGCCTATTACCCAGTTACCCCATAACCCTAACCACCTCCTCTTCCACAGCCCTTTGTTTATTTCCCAGAGTTAGGAGTCTCTTATGGGTTGTCTTCCTCTAATAATTGTGAACTTCTGAGAAACCCTGAATAGAGCAATAAATTCTAAGTAGTACAAGGGATAGAGGTAGGGAATGATGGAGAAAGTATGAATCTGATAAACAGAATTATGGTTCTATGAAGTTAAGGACCATGCTTGTCTTGTCGATCACTGGATCAGAGAGATGCTCATGAGACTGCCCACCACACAGCTGACAAACCATAAATATTTTTGAATAAAATTCCCTATAAGTTGCAATACCTTTTAGTGATATCTACCTCATTTTATTATCAAAATATTTAGACAAACAGAAAAGTTCTCAAAATTGTATAGCAGACATCCGTGTACCCATAGCCTAGTTTCTACAATGAATATATTGCTATATTTTTTCAGCACATATATCCACCCATTCCTTCCTCTATGCATCCATAAATCCATCTAATTTTTAAAGCATTTCAAAGTTACACCTGATGTCAGTACACTTTGTCCCTAAATGCTTTAACATGCATATTGTTGAATCACTAGAATTGAGTATTTGTTTTATAGGGCTTTTGGCATTTGGGTTTTTTGTTTTTGTTTGGTTTGGTTTGGTTTTTGGTGAGCTAAACACTACATACAGTAATAGCAAATATTAAGTGCCCATTGATGAGGTTTTGTTTTAAAGATTTTATTTATGAGAGAGAGAGAGAGGCGCAGAGACACAGGCAGAGGGAGAAACCAGCTCCATGCAGGGAGCCTGACGTGGGACTCGATTCCGGGTCTTCAGGATCAGGCCCTGGACTGAAGGCAGCGCTAAACCGCTGAGCCACCCGGGCTGCCCCCATTGATGAGTTTTGACAAACACCTAGAACTATATAACCTGAACTCTAAAGTTACTACCTCCTTAGAAAGTTCTTATGCCCCTTCCCAGTCAATTCCTCCTTCACATTCCTAAAGAGGACTACTGTCTTAATTTTTTCATCACGTATTAGTCTGTTCTAGAACTTCATAAAAATGGAATTATACAGCATGAACTGTTCTAAGTCTCCTTTCATTCTGCATGTTTTTGAGATTCATCCATGTTGTATGTACCCATATGTATGCCTTTTTATTGCTGATTAGCCCACTCTGTGAATAATCCACAGTTCACCTACTTTCCGGTTTTTGGACCGCCCCCCCCCAGGTTGTTTCCGGTTTTGGAATATTATGATTAAGGCTGCTTTGAATATTTTTGTACAAGTCGTTTTGTGGTTATGTTTTTCATTCCTTCTGGGTAAAGATATCAATCAGCATGGAGCTTTCGAGGCTAACAAACTGGCACACTCCTTCTAAAGTACTTGTACAAGTTTATGTTGCCAATGACAACTTATCAGAGTTCCATTAGCTCCATACCCTCACCATCTGATGCTATTGGTCATTTCTGTTTTTTTCCCCAGCTTTACTGAGCTGTAACTTACAAATAAAATGATACGGTATTTAAAGAGTACAGCACAATGATATAATTTTAGCTATTCTGCTGGATGCTTATTTAGAGTGGGTATTTCATGATTTTAATTTGCAATTCTCTGATAACTAGTGTTGTTAAGTACATTTTCACCAGTATATTGGCTACTCACACACCATCTCTTGGTAGTATCTGTTCAAATATTTCACCTATTTGTAAAAGGGTTGATCAATTGTCTTCTAATTATTCAGTTGTAGGAGTTCATTATATTTCCTAGATACCAGTCCTTTGATGAGTATCTTGACTTAGTCCATGGTTTGCTTAGTCCCTTTCCTAACAGTATGTGATGATAGGCAAAAGTTTTTAATTTTGAGGAAATCTAGCTTATCACTTTTTCCTTTTTGGGTATTGCTTTCTGTGTCATGTCTAAAAACTTTTGTCAAGCCTAAAGTCACAGAGATATTTTCCTAGATTTTCCTCAAGAAGTTTTATAATAATAGCTTTTAAGCTTTTATGTTTATGACTATGAATCATCTCTAATTTTTCTGAGAGATAGAGATTGAGGTTCATTTTTAAAAGCACAATATTCAGTTCCAGCCCTATTTGTTAAAAAGAGTTTCCTTTCAGGGCGCCTTGATGGCTCAACTGATTGAGCCTCTGACTCTTGATTTCAGCTCAGGTCATGATCTCAGGGTCATGAGATTCAGCTCAGTGTTGGGCTCCATGCTGGGCTTGGAGCCTGCTTAATATTCTCTCTCTCCCTCTGCCCCTCCTTCACCCCTCCCCTACCCCTGCTCCCTCTAAAAACAAAAACAAAAAATCAAAAAGAATAAACATTTGCAATAGCTTAAGTATAATCGTCCCCCCCCCAAAAAAAAAAGTTTCCTTTCCCCAATGGACTTTGGGCTCTTTGATTAAAGTCAAATGACCATATAAATACAGACATATTTCTGGCCTCTATTCTATTCCACTGACCAACCTGCCACAGTTTTGCTTATTATAGTATTAAAGTATTTCTTTAAGTCAGGTACCCTGTCTTTTTCAAGATTACTTTAGATATTCTAAGTCCTTTGTATTTCCACGTTAAAAAAAACTTTTTTACATCAGTTTCTGCTGGTGGTGAAAAAAATACAGTCAATTTCTACCAACAAATCTACTAGAATAATGACTGGGATTGCACCAGATCTCTTTAGATCAACTTGGGGTGAATGGACAGTTTTTTGCAATATTAAATTTTCTAATCAATGCACATATCTCCCCACTTACTTGGGGCTTCTTTCATTTCTTTCAGTAATATTAATTATTAGTAAGCTTTTACTGTTTAGGTAATGAACATAGTTTGTAGTATTTATTTGTCCCTGAGAATTTCATATTTTTAAATGCTACCATAAATAAAATTTTAAATTTCATTTTTAAATTATTTACTGCTAGTATATTAAAATACCATAGATTTTAGTCTATTGACCTTGTATCCTTGCTAAATGCACTTATATGTTCTTGTAACTATTCTGTAGAGGATTTAGGATTTCCTATTAACCAGATCATGTCATCTAAGACTAAAGACATTTGTTTTCTTCCTTTCCAATCTATATGCCTTTTCTCCCCTCCTCTCACCCCTTGCTTTACTGTATCGCTTGAGAAGATCTCTAAAGTGAATGCAAATGGCAAAAGTGGACATCTTGCCATATTACTAATAATAGGATTATTTTTGCCATTAAGTAGGATATTAGCAACAGATTTTTCATAGAAGTCCTTTACAGATGAAGAAATTCCCTTCTGTTCCTGATTTGCTAACTTTTTCTCATAAATGTGTTGATTTTCATCAGATGCTCTTTTTTTTTGCATATAATGAAATGATCATCTGGTTTTCTCCTTTATATATGGTTAATTATATTGACTAATTTTCAAATGCTAAACCAACTTTGTACTACTAAGAAAAACCTCCCTTAGTCATATATATTTATTTCCCTTTTTCTTTACACTGGTGGATTAATGTGCTAATGTTCTTTGAAGAAATTGTCTGTGTTCATGAAGATAATAATTTTCTTCTTTTTTTAAAATGTCTTTGTCAGGTTTGGATGTCATAGTCAATGCTGACATCATAAAATGAATGGGTAAGTGTCCCTTCCTACATTTTTGAAAGAGTTCATGTAAGATTAGTGCTACTCTTCCTCAGAAGCTTGAAAAGCACTCACCAGGGAAACTACTAGGCCTGGGATTTTCTTTGTGGAAACGTTGATTACAAATCCAATATTCTGGATATAGGGTTATTCACAATTTTCATTTCAGTTTGTGTCAGTTTTGCTAAGCGTTCCCTCCCAAGGAACTCAGACATTTCATCTGGGTTGTCAAAGTACTGGGATAAGGTTGTTCATAATATTCCGGGCAGCCCGGGTGGCTCAGTGGTCTAGTGCCACCTTCAGCCCAGGGCCTGATCCTAGAGATCCAGGATCGAGTTCCACGTTGGGCCCCCTGCATGGATGGAGCCTGCTTCTCCCTCTGCCTGTGTCTCTGCCTCTCTCTGTGTGTGTCTCTCATGAATAAATAAATAAAATCTCTTTAAAAAAATATATTCCTTGAACGTCCTTTTTATGTCTGTAGGATCTATAAATTATTTCCCTCTTTCCTATCTGATATTGGTCACTAGTGTTCTGTTTTTTTACTAGTTCAGTCTATGTAAGAGTTTATCAATTCTGCTATCTTATCAGGGGACAATTTTAGATTTTATTGGCTTTCTTTATTGTTTGTCTTTTATTTAATTGATTCCTCCCCTTTACTATTTCCTTTCTTCTATTTATATTGGGTTACTCTTCTTTATCTAGTTTCATAAAATGGAACATTAGATCAGTGATTTAGTCTTGTTTTCTAACATAAGCATTTCAAAAGCTATAAATTTCTCCCCAAACACTCCTTTAGCTGCATCCCACACATTTTAATGTTACACTTTTATTATTATTCACTTAAAATACTTTCCAATTTCCCTCATGATTCCTTCCTTGATCCATGGATAACTTTGAAATGTATGAATTTCCAAATACTGGGAGATTTTCTATAACTGCTTTCTAATTCTACTGTGGTCAAAGACCATACTGTTTATGATTGTAATCTTTTTCAGTATATTAGGATGTATTTCATGCCAATAGCGCATGGTCTGCCATATGCTAACTTTCATTTGCTTATACCTTTATGCCACCAAAAAATTCTTGATGGTTATATAAAATGAGTGCCAAAAATGAAGGCCAGAACCCACTGACATTTAAATATTCTTATCATTTAAGATTTTTTTCTTTTGTTTCATTTTTTTTTCTAATTGTCAAGTTAATAGTGATATACTCTAGGAAGCATATTCTTTGACTAAAAACTGGAGGAAACTTATAAATAACTGTGACTTTCATTTGGAAGCAAGTTACAAACTGGACTTCCCCCAGTTTTCCCTTAATTAAATGGCAATCACGTTTTCTTTCTTTAAAGAAAAATTAGATTTATGCTTCAAGGGGTTTTGATCAGAAACTAGGTTTATCTTTGTTAATCCTTAAATGTAAAACTAAAAGCCTGATATAGGATGTCTCTTTCTTACTGTTGCCATTTTGTTTTCTAAAGAGGCACAGGATAAAGGGGGATATATTTAAGGTTTCAAACCAGGGGTGGTTTAAGAATTTTTGTAGTCTTCAATTGAGCAAGGTCACCCCAGCCCTTCCTCTAAGATCTTTCTCTCCACCAGAATGAAGAGTGACAGGTGTTCTGCATACTTTCAGTTCTGTGACAAACTGGAAGCAGTTCTGCTCAGTCCCGTAAGGCACAGAGTTAAATGCCCCAGGGATATCAAGGCCAACCATAACCAGTCATTTGACTTTAACATGACAGAACTTTTAAAATCTCATCTGTACTCATTTGACTCTAACATGACAGTAGTTTTAAAATCTCATTTATACTCTAGTGTCTCTTACATAGCCAAATAAGAACACTATTAGTATCAGTTCAAATGATATACCTATAGTTATAAAAAAGTAAATCCCAATTTTAGTTTGTAAAAAGTTGCCCTGGAATAGTGTTTCAATAGAAACTTTTATGTTACTATTCAAGCTGAGCCAAACCAAAAAATGGTTACACAAAATATCATGCTTAGCTTCTGCATGGTCACACACTGTGCACATGGAAAGAATTTCTCAACTTGTAAAAATCAGTTACCGTGTTCTTCCTGTCAATAAGCTTCTTCTTGGGTTTCCCCTACAGAAGTAGAAAGGACAACTGGGTTAGAGGACTGCTCAGATATTCTCTCCTGAGTTCATACGTGCACACACACACTCCTGATAACATGGAACTATGCCAGGGAAGGCAGCTTTGGGAAGAATCAGAGAGATGTACTGAGAAAAGAACAGAATCCCCAAAGCATGTGGGAAGAGCAATAAAAAAACAAAGGAGAAACGACAGATGAATTCCAGAAAAGAAGCATAAAAACTACTTGCATTGTCTATTAGTCACAAATCAAATCATACTTATTCTTTACAACCCCTATGCGAAGGAGGTTATGATTAGGCCCATTTATTAAAAAAAAAAAAACAAAAACGAAAAACAAAAACGAATAGGATAAGATCATTTTGTGACATGCCCAAGCCAGGAGCTCAGTGAGCTCAAATGTGAACCCCGGGGCTAGGTCTCAGACTCCAGTGCTCTTCTTTATACTTTCACTAAAGGAAATCAATCTCAGTTCTCATGGGGTTCAAAAAGGATGCTCAGGAGAAATAGATTTTTCAGTTAAAAAAAAAAAAAGAGATGTTCTCCATAGTGTCTGAACTAGAGTAGAGTTGGGCTCTCACCACAGGAAGTGAATGCCATTTATGTTTAAATTAGCTTTTGTTTTTCTTTTGAATTTTTTTCCTCATTCAATTTCCTTTCATTTAACACACACACTCTTTATTTCATTTCCTCAGTTTTACTTGTATTCATTTGTGAATGTGTATATTTAGCTTAGTACACTTTTATTATTGTGTGGATTCAAGTATATATCAACACAGACAAGATACTGAATAATTCCACGACCATAAGGATCCTTTGTGTCATTCTTTTATAACCACACACCTCTCACCTAACCCCTGGATCCCTTTAATCTGTTCTCCATTTTAAAACTTTATCATTTAAAATTTGCCATTTAAAAATTTCAAAAATGTTATAAAAAGAGATAGATGCCATCAATATCAAGATTTTCTATTTACAGAAAATCAAGCAAAGAGTAGGTCTTCAACAAAATGCTTTGTCTTTCCCGTGTCTTCTACTCATGCCAATGTCCTAATATTGTCACCTTACCATCAGAAAGTCTCAAGATGATTTTTACCTTTTGCATCAGATAATAGTTTGTTCCAGTAATATGCAATCATGGTTTCACGTTACAATCACAGGCAGTTTTTAAGAAGTACCAATATGCTTCAGCCTGGGGATAGGGCCAGGGCATAAAAAGGGTTTATAAAATCTCCAAGTGTTACTAATACGTAGCCAGGGTTAAAATTACCATCATACTGTAAGATAGTAGGTAAGATACTATTTGCCAGGCAGGGTGGCAGGTTGGGGGATGAGTGGGAGAGGGCAAGAAAGGCAGAAAAAATTAACCTCAAAAAAAAAAAAATCAGGAAATTAGTTTAACTAATTCTGGCAATAATACAACAGGATTTTTTAGAGGAAAAACAATACAAATTGAAGAGAACAAACTTAATAGAAGATGTTAGGGCTTGCAACAAATACAATTTCATTTTTTCAGTGCATGTTTGTGTGTGTGTATGCCTACCATCTGGTACATTCTAGATACTGACAAAGACAAGGATGAACATAACAAAATACTACTCTCAAAAGCCAACTTGTATAGTAGACAGGCTTGTACGTAAATAAGCAATTAGAATACAATGCAGGAATCTGAATCAGTCTAAGGGATCAGAAGGGCTGGGTAAGAGGATGAAGGACAGAGCCAGTAGAATTTAGGGATGGACTGAAGGCTATTCCTTGGGATGGCAAGTATGCAAGAAGGAGGAGGCATGAAAGAGCAAGCTGACACAGAGATATTGGCCATGGGTTGATGTGGAAAAGTAGAGATTAGGCTAAAAAGGTAAACAAGAGTAAATCATAAGGGTCTTTCTTTATTAAACATGGAAATTCATGTTTTTAGAACGCTTTATAATCAGTTGTTCCTGGGGCCTGAAGAAAGAATTCAGGGAGTATACCAATGTGGATGGAAAAAAAATTAATCTTCCAAATGAAATTTAGCATTTCCTTCATATACATGTAGGAAATTCTCTGCAGCAGTGTTCATATGATCTTATTACCAAAAAATAATAATACCTTTTTTTCATATTACTTTAGAGATGTTACAGGTTATCTCCAAATCTTGGCAACATGTATCATGCTTTCATGATTATTAGACCTGCTGATGGTCTTGTTTATTGAATTGTTAATAAAGAAACACATATTACTACATCTCAAATCTCTTTATTGTTACACTCGCCCTAAGAGAATGTTTCCTAATTTTGGTGATAGTTCCCAAATTGCCTGTTCCACTTCCTTCTCCCTCAGGGGAAGCCCAAGGACTGAAAGATTGAGCCTCAAACATAAGTCCATGTCAGTCCAGATTGTCACAGCCTGTGAGAAAAATCATGCAAATTATCTATCCTCAGCAAATGGTCCATTACTTATAAAAATGACAATCAAAGATCACCAAATATATGAGGAAACATAGTAATATAAACCAGCAAGAATGAAATGAATAGAACTAGTCTAGAAGAATTAAATATAATGCAAGAAACAGAAAGGAACTTTCAACAAACTAAAAGAGTCAAAGAGATGTGAAAAAACATTTACGATACTGTGATTTATAGCAAGAAATATATATTTGGGGGGCACCTGGGTGGCTGAGTCAGTTGAGCATCTGACTCTTGATTTTGGCTCAGGTCATGATCTCACATGAGACAGAGTCCGGAGTAGGGCTCTGGGTTCCACAAGGAGTCTGCTTGAAATTCTCTCTCTCCCTCCCACCTTCCCCTCCCCACCCATGCACACTCTCTAAAACAAATAAATATATCTTGCGGGGAATAAAAAGGAATTTAAAGAAATACGTATTTGGTCTTCAGCCCCCACCTCTCACATAGAGGACCTAAAACCTCTGGAACTTCCTAAGTGATGAGCACGGTGAATGTGTCTTTGGTTATGACAATGCAGTAGCTTTGGGAATGCCCTGGATCACTGTCAGGATGCAGACTGATGACCAGAGGAACTGACCATGTGATCAGAGGGTTGGACCTTTCAATTCCTCCCCCCACACACACCCCGCTGACCTCTAGGAAATGGAGTGGGCCTGGAGATGGGAGTTCAATCACCAATGGCCAATGATTTAACCAATGGTGCCTATGTAATGATGCCTCCATAAAAACGCAAAAGGAGAGCTTCCAGGCTGGTGAACATGTGGAAATCTGGGAGAGACTGGCATGCCGGAATGGGCATGGAAGCTCTGCACCCTCTCCCCATACCTTGCCCTACATGTCTCTTCCAACTCAGTATTCCTGAATTATATCCTTTTATAATAAACCAGTGATCTAGAAAGTGAAACGTTTCTTGGGAGTTTTGTGAGCCACTCTAGCAAATTAATCAAATGGAAGGAAGGAAGGAGAGAGTTGTAGGAACCTCTGATTTACAGCCAGACAGTCAGAAGTACAGGTAACCACCTGGACTTGCAACTGGTGTCTGAATTAAAGCCCAAGGAGCAGGTTGTTCAAAACCCCAATCTGTAGCTGGTCAGTCAGAAGCACAAGTGACAATGTGGCCTTGTAACTGGTATCCAAAGTCAGGTAAAGGCAGAGAAAGTGGGGAATGACAGTCCTGTAGGACGGAACCATTAAAGTATGGAATCAGATGCTAATCTCTGGACAGATAGTGTCAGAACTGAGCTGAATTCTCAGGTGCAAATGGGGCAATTACGTGGTGCTGTGGGGGAACCTGCCTGCCACATGGGAAATAGTACTGAAACCATTTTAATATTATAGCCATAAAGTCTAATCCCTGTCAGAAATCAAAAATAGTTCTTGGGGGATCCCTGGGTGGCGCAGCGGTTTGGCGCCTGCCTTTGGCCCAGGGCGCGATCCTGGAGACCCAGGATCGAGTCCCACATCGGGCTCCCGGTGCATGGAGCCTGCTTCTCCCTCTGCCTATGTCTCTGCCTCTCTCTCTCTCTCTCTGTGTGTGACTATCATAAATAAAAATAAAAAATAAAAAAAATAGTTCTTGGATATTAAAAACATACTTAACAAAGTTAAAAAGGTAAACTGAACAACCCTCTCCTATGCTGGTACAGAATAACACAATAGAGAGGGCTGCAGATCAATTTAAAATTTTAGAAGAAAAAGTTCAAACATCCTAGAATTTAAAGCTAAGAAACAGTGAGATAAAAAAAAAAAAAAAGTAAAAAACAAACAACATGGACCATATAGCAAAAGATCCAAAATTCATCTAACAGAAGTTCCAAAAGGAGAGGATAAGGGGAATATTTCCCACAGATGGAAGACTTAAATCTTCAGACTGAAACGACTCACCCACTGCAAAACCAAAAGAATGAAAAGTAACCCACTAGAACAGATCTTGGTAAAATACCTGAACTCTAAAGATAAAGGAGGCCTGTAAAAGGCTGGTAAGGGAGGAGAGAAAAAAACAGGTTATATAGAGAGAACTGAGCTTCTATGTCTTCTAAGTCAATCTGAAGGTCTCTTTCACTAGAAGCTATGCAGTGTAATTAATTACTTCACCAGTGGTAATAACTACAAATGTAAGGGGGAAATGGCAAATCCCCTATCTTTCCTGATAATAGGTCATGAAATTGTAAGAAATGGCTAAAATCTGAGTATCTATTTTAAGCATTCTACAAAAAAAGCACATATACCCTGAAAATAATATAAATTTCCCTAAATAACTAAGGTTCCTCATTTTGATAGTGATTACTAAACTATAGGTCAAGACAATTACAGCTTAGGGGCAACAAAACTATGTGGGACTAAGTAGTGCCTGATTGCTGTGCTAACTGAATTCCAATGTCCACTTTCCATCACTTCACCCTATCTTCCCTTGCACTGAAATCTCAATAGTTTCATTTTTTACAATTCCTAATGTATTTATTTTGTGAATTATCGCCCTGTTCTACATTTCCTAATCTGATCATTCTAATTTCTTCTAGCCTAGAAAAACAGATGATTGTGTCTGTTAAAACTGTGTCTAATGTAAAAAGGCACCAAGTACAGGTCTTCCTTTACTTGAAGGATAAAGTTTAGGGCATCTGTTAAGATTGTTTGAAGATCTTTATGGTTTGGGACACCTGGGTGGCTCAGTGGTTGAGCATCTGCCTTTGGATCAGGGCATGATCCTGGAGTCCTGGGATCGAGTCCCACATTGGGCTCCCTGCATGGAGCCTGCTTCTCCCTCTGCCTATGTCTCTGCCTCTCTCTCTGTCTCTCATGAATAAATAAATAAAAATCTTTTTAAAAAATAGAAAAAATAAAATGTGAGTAGCAGCAAAAAAAAAAAATCTTTATGGTTTAATTTGTGGCCTCTGAAAACACTACTAAGTGCTGGGAATTAATGAATTCAGGAACAATGAGGTATTATATTGTGTTTTCTGCAAGGCCCTTTCTATCAGAGATTTCATGAAAGATATTTGTTTTTTAATAAAGCCTCTTTCTTTTGTATGTACTTTCTCCTTATCACATAATCTAGTGATCTTACAAGATTAGCAAATTTTTAAGATTGGCAAATCCCCACCTGTCCTGGAAGAGACGTGTTGCCAGCATATAGTTCATGGAGGTCTTGTGTTCGAGGTAGGACCTGAAAGACAAAGAATGAAACTGGCTATTTCTTACATTTGGCTGGAAGGAGAATACATGGAAATAAAGCCATGATCAAGCACTGAAGTGACAGTTACTTAAATACGGTTTCTAAAGAAATGTATGGCTCTCTACAGTGGCAAAGGAAGATAAAGTTGCTTAAATTAAAATTATAAAATACCAGAGACAAAATACCAGAGACAAAATAAAATGAAAACAATAAATGGAGGAGCTAATTTAGAATGCAAAAAGAAAGAAATGGCGGGATTTATTAGATTAATGAAAAGTGACACACTAAATTCAGAAAATAAAACTGGAAGGTAAAAACAAAGGCACCATCAAAAATCATATATAACTAAGAGATCAAATGAAGCTGGGAATGGGGAGATGCATAAAAGGCATGAAAAAGTAGACAGAAGATGTTTTCAATCATGCTTTTTCTCAAGAGCTCCTTGATGCTTACATAGGAGGCATACTCTTTCTCTTCCAAGCCTTCAAAAGTTGAATAAGCTATACCACCAATTCTTTTACACTTTCTCCTGACAGTTCCTCAACAGTGATCCCGCCTTAAGCCAGACAAGCCTCCTGAAAAATCACCCGACACCACACTTCCCACTGATCCTTTTGCCTTGGTCTGGATACCTCCTCATACCCTCTCCACTTAGCCATGATCTACATTTCAAGAAGCAGCTCAAGTCCACTGTGCTGTATAAAGCATTACCTGATCTGATGACTCCAAGACTAGAGAAGCACTCTTATCTGAACTACATTAGCCTTTACTAATGCCTGAGGAGGGACCTGTCATACACTCTTATAGAGGAAATCTTTCCTTCTTGGAAAGCATCATGATACAGGAGGAAAAAAGTCCGATCCAGAGTCAAAATACCTGAGTCAATTCCCCCTGTGTGGTCATGGACAAGTCATATTACCTTACTGAGCCAGTACTTTCCATATCATTAAAATGGGAATAAGAATAATGTGCATGCATGAGAAAATGCTCTGCATCACTTGCCATCAGGGAAATACAAATCAAAACCACAATGAGATACCACCTCACACCAGTGAGAATGGGGAAAATTAACAAGGCAGGAAACAACAAATGTTGGAGAGGATGTGGAGAAAAGGGAACCCTCTTACACTGTTGGTGGGAATGTGAACTGGTGCAGCCACTCTGGAAAACTGTGTGGAGGTTCCTCAAAGAATTAAAAATAGACCTGCCCTACGACCCAGCAATTGCACTGTTAGGGATTTACCCCGAAGATTCAGATGCAATGAAACGCCGGGGCACCTGCACCCCGATGTTTCTAGCAGCCATGTCCACGATAGCCAAACTGTGGAAGGAGCCTCGGTGCCCATCGAAAGATGAATGGATAAAGAAGATGTGGTTTATGTATACAATGGAATATTACTCAGCCATTAGAAATGACAAATACCCACCATTTGCTTCAACGTGGATGGAACTGGAGGGTATTATGCTGAGTGAAGTAAGTCAATCGGAGAAGGACAAACAGTGTATGTTCTCACTCATTTGGGGAATATGAATAATAGTGAAGGGGAATATAAGGGAAGGGAGAAGAAATGTGTGGGAGATATCAGAAAGGGACACAGAACATAAAGACTTCTAACTCTGGGAAATGAACTAGGGGTGGTGGAAGGGGAGGAGGGCGGGGGGTGGGGGTGAATGGGTGACGGGCACGGAGGGGGACACTTGACGGGATGAGCACTGGGTGTTATTCTGTATGTTGGTAAATTGAACACCAATAAAAATTAATTTATAAAAAAAAAAGAATAATGTGCATGAAGTACATTATAATTACGAAGAGCCATACAAATGAGATATTTTTATTATATGTATAAATAATTTCTCCATAATCCCACTATTAACTCTCAAAGGGCAGGGATCCCATCTAATATTGGTTTTATATTCCAAAGCATAGTGTTAGACATTAGCTGATAATAAGTATATTGCAGTAAAAAGGCATATTTGTTAGTAGATAAATACATCTTCCCTACTCTCTATGAAGGCAGGTCAATTAGTTTAATATTCTTGGTCTTGCTCTGCCTCTTTTCTCAGAGACACCAGGAGAAATGGAGTGACTTACCACATTATGTAATTTAGGAAGAATAAACAGAAACGCATCAACGAGCAGCTTCCTTTTTTCTCTTGGGAGAAAATCTCCCCTTAGGAGGTATAACTCCTCTGCTGGTCCTAGAGGGTCAGGTGCTCTTTCCACACAGCTCAGTCTAACCTTGCCTCCAAATGAGCATGTAAATCTGCCCATATCAGAAGTTCAACCAAAAGTGAGTGTGTTTGCTTGTAGACAGATATAATCAAGTGTCCCAACCTAGACTTTATCAGTAAAGGAGATATTTTGGTCTCAATTTCTCTTAGTCTTTTTCTCATTTCTCCATTGGTTCAGAACCAAACCAGTAAAACCAAACCAACCATTACTGGACTTGGTAAGAGACTCCAATATTACCTGTAAACAGTTCCTTAGAAAAGGAACTTAAATTAAGGTACTGCCTCTTGAAATACACAAGAGTAGAGGTTTCTATTCTCATTAATTAAAAGATATGTTTTCTAGCGACTGTAAATATTTAAATTCCCCAAAAACATATCAAAAGAAAATCCACGCAATATCTTTTTGTTGTGTTCCTAGGTCTTTGTTCCTAGGTCTATCTACATTGATAGAATATTCTGTAAGATGAAAGGAAGATTTCTCTATGAACAGCATGATTTTCAAAACAAAACCAAACAAACATAAAATGGGTATTTTCTTTTATTCCTTTACGTTCTAGCTCTATACTTAGAACCACTAATATGCCAACTAGGTCAAAAGCCAATCATCAGAGGAAGAGAGATGTGTTACCTATAAATAAGTACAAAAATTCTCAACCTTACTGTAATCAGAGAAAAGGCATCACAAGGGACTCGGAGTCTTTGGATAAATACAAACCTGCTCAGGCATAGGGTAAATGTCCACAAGGCTGGGCAAAGAGCAAATGATAAGGTAAAGAATGTTAAAGAGAAAGTGTAAGCTGAATACTTTCCAGAATTCATCAAGAGCTATAAATTGATTGATTCCCACCAGCCAGAATGGAGAAATCTCATTGAATATGGAGCTCATTTAACAGATATCTCCAAATAGTCTTTCATAGTAAAACTTATCTAGATCTAAACACAAAGCTACCCTAGACAAACCATAAATGTCTTTAAATGAACTGAGTGATGTACAGAATTGTTGAATCACTACATTGTACACCTGAAACTAATAAAACTGATGTTAATTACACTGAATTTTTAAAAAAAATTTTGAATGAGCCTGAAAAAGCTTAGCCTGATCTACAAGTAACCGTCAGATCAAAAAAACCTTCAAAAGCATTTAAAGACAATAGAACCCACTCAATAACATATTTATAATGTCCAGCATTCAAGAAGAAAATGACACCAAGGTACATATATCATAAACTGTTGAAAATGAGTCATAAAGAAATCTTAAAAGCAAGCTAAGGAAGAAAAGACTTATTATGCACAGAAAAATAAAAATAAGAATTATCGTATGCTTCTTGTCAGAAAAATGCAAGCCAAAAGATAATGGAAGAACATTTTTCAAGTGCTAGGAAAAAAGGAATATCCAAAATATACAAAGAACTCTCACAACTTAATTACAAGACACAAATAACCTCATTTAAAAATGGGCAAAATATTTGATCATCAAAGACACACAAACAGCAAATAAGCACATGAAAAGATGCTCAACATAGTCATTAGGGAAATGTAAATTAAACTGTATGTAATTTCACTACAGACCCCCTAAGGGGTCAATTGTTGGTGAGGATGTGGAAGAATTAGAACATTCACACACTTATTATAGGAATGTAAAATGGTACAACCACTCTAGAAAACTGTGTGGCAATTTCTTAAAAAGTTAAACATATACAACAATATGATCCAGTCATTCTACAAGCAGGTATTTACCCAAGAGAAATGAAAGCGCATGTCCATACGAAACTTTGTATATAAATGTTCAAAGAAGCTTTATTTATAATAACCAAAAACTATAAATTACCAAAATGTCCATCAACAGATGAATAAGCAAATTCTGACATATGCCTGTAATAGAATATCATTCAACAATAAAAAGGAATTAAACCACTGATACATGATACAGTATGTATCTAAAATCCAAAAACAATTTTGCCAAGTAAAAAAAGACCCAACAAATAAGAGAACCTGTTGAATTTTATTATATGCAATGCTATGAAATTCAGATTAAACTTTGTAACAGAAAGCAGATCATAGCTGTCTGGGGACAGGGACAGGAAGGGAAGGGTTGGGAGGTGCAGGAGAGAGGAATTACAAAGAGGCACAAGAAAACTTTTGGAGATTATGGATCTGTTCATTATGTTGACTGTGTGGTAGTTTCACAGACATATATACCTATGTTAAAACTTACCAAATTATACACTTTAAATATATAAAGTTTATAACAAGCTGTTTAAAAAATAACATTTATAATACCATTCAAAAGCATGAAATACTAAGTGATGAATAAAAAAAAAAGAAAACGTTCAAGACCTTTACAGTTAAAATTATAAAACGTTGCTAAGAAAAATTAAAGAAGACGTAAATAAGTGCACTTGTCGTAATGAACACTGGGTGGTGTATGGAACTGTTGAATCGCCGTATTATACACCTGAAACCAATATAACACTGTATGTTAACTAACTGGAATTAAAATACATAAAAAGTCATTTTAAAAAGGCAACTTAAATAAATGGAGAGAGAGATCATGTTCATGGATTGGAAAATTCAATACTGTTAAAATGTCCACTGTCCCAAAATTAATCTATATATTCAATGCAATCCCAATCAAACGCCAGCAGACTTCTGTGTAAATTGATGAGGAAATTCTAAAATGTCTTGGGAAATACAAAGGACACCAAATAGCTAAAATACTTAAAGAAAAAAAGTTGGAAGACTCATATTACCTAATTTTAAGACTTAGTATAAAGCTACAGTAATCGGGGATCCCTGGGTGGCGCAGCGGTTTGGCGCCTGCCTTTGGCCCAGGGCGCGATCCTGGGGACCCGGGATCAAATCCCACATCGGGTTCCCGGTGCATGGAGCCTGCTTCTCCCTCTGCCTGTGTCTCTGCCTCTCTCTCTCTCTGTGACTATCATAAATAAATTAATTTTTAAAAAAAAAAGCTACAGTAATCGAGACAGATTTATCAGTGAAACTAAATAAAGCCCAAAGATAGACTCACACATACATTTGAACTAATTTTCAACAAAGATAATCCAATAGGGTAATTTCAACAAATGGTGCAAAATAAATGTACATCATATGAAAAGAAATGAACCTCAACCCTACCTCACACCATACACAAAAATTAAATCAATACTATCTCAGACTTAAACATAAAAGCTAAAGTTGTAAAACTTTTAGAAGAAAAGAAAAAACTTTATGACGTTGGGATTGGCAAAAATTTCTTAGATGGAAACACAAAATGCATAAATCTTTTTGGACTTTGTTGAAATTTAAAACTTCTTTAAAAGTCACTGTTATAGAAATGAAAAAACCTGGGGTGCCTGGGTGGCTCAGTCCATTAAGCATCCAACTTCAGGTCATGGTCTTGGGGTCCTGGGATCAAGCTCTGTTGTGAGTAAGGCTCTGCATTCACAGGGGAGTCTCCTCCCCAGCCTCTTTCCTCTTCTGCCCCTCCCCCCACTTGTGAGTTCATGTGCTCATTCTTTTCTCTCTCTCAAATAAATAAAATCTTAAAAAGAAATGAAAAAGCTAGCCACAGACTTGGAGAAAATATTCACAATATAAATATCTGAGAAAAACCTTGTATCAAGAGTCCTTTACAACACAATAACAAAAAAAATAAAAATCCTAAATTTAAAATAAAAAAAAAGAAGATACACAAATAGCCAATAGCACATGAATGCGTAATATCATTATCCATTAGAGAAAAGCAAATTAAAACTACAGAGATATACTCACACCCACTGGAATACCTAAAATTAAAAAACCTGACAATACCAAGTGTTAACAAAGATGAGGAGCAACTAGAACTCTCATACGCTCTTGGTAAAATGTAAAATGGTACTATACTTCCCCCACATCAGATGATCCTCCTATTCTACTCCTAGGTACTTAACAGTCTCAAACCGGACACAACCCAAATGTTCCACAACAGTTGAATGGATAAACAAATTGTGATATATGAATCCATATTCATATGAACGAATATATTCATATGAACGCATATTCATTCATATGAATTGGTATGCAATAATAATAATGAACTAATGCTTCGCACAACATAGATAAATTTCAAAAACATTATGCCAAAGAGAATCCAAACACCAAAGTATACATTGGATGATTCTATTTATACAAGATTCTAGATAAACTATAAAGACATAAAGCAGATCAGCAGGTGTATGAGGCTCAGGGTAATGAGGGTAATTGACTGCAAAGGGGCAGAAGGGGACTTCTGAAGGTGACAGAAATAGTCTTTATTTTGATTGTAATGACGGTGGTAGTTAAATTGGTGCTTATATTGTCAAAACTCATCACCAAACTCCACATTTAAAATGGATGCATTTATTGCACATAAACTAGATCTCAATGATGAATAAATATAAACAATATATTGTTGAGGCACCATGTAGATGACCAAACAATTTATTTTCAAATCAAGGTAATGATGACCACAAAATTTTTTAAATGTCTAATTCTGGGTTAGCAGGCTATTAAGGAGGAGGTGGGGGATTTTTTTTTAAAGGGAGGAATAATGCACAGGTAGATTAAATTACTGTTTTTTGCTCTTGGGTTGCATAATATTCACGCCACTCTAAATACACAAAATAAGACAGACAAGCATGGAAAGCAATGACAATACTATGTCATGATTAACCCAATTCTGTGGACCTGAGGCACATATTTTTTAAAAAAAAAAGGGTAGTCACCTCACCCATATATTTCCCATGTCTCTGATGTGGGGAATATGCGAATAAATCCACCTCTCCGATCATTTTCTTCCTTCACTCTCCGCAAAACTTTGATCTATATAGAGTAAGAGAAAATGAAGTAAGTACCCATTTTGAAAACAGTAATCCATGTGGTTATAGGGCAGAGGAAGAGAGTGATGACAAACGAATACGAAAGCATGAAGAGAGAAATTAATTCAATTTAAGATGCTGTTTTCTGAAAAGAAATTTCTCCCATCTTGAATCTTTTTCTTTTCAAAACAAGATATGAGTTGGTCATGAACATTAGGTATCACTAATTTTCACTGAACCCTGTGTTAGCCCACAAAGGACTGAAATGGAGTTATCTTTACCTCCTCCATTGACAGACCAAGCACAGAACCACCTAACTTCCCCGGCACCTTCTCTCGGGCTGAGCCCACAAGGTTTTTCATTTCCGCATCACTGGCAGAGAGTGGACGGGAACGCTAAGGAGAAGGAAAAACAGAAACAAAATGTTTTCACCATCCTTCTTCATTTCTCTCAATTCCGTCCCTCCTCAACATTATCATCTTTCCTAATATGGATAACCTCAACTCCAAAGCCCATTTTCTGTAATTACTCTCTCAGCCTGAAACCCTGGGAAATAAATGAAAGCTAGTAGACTAAAAGGAAGAAGAGAAAACGGAAGAGAAGGAAAAACACTATGGGCTGAGGGGAAAACAAGCAGAAAAACAAGAACGATGTCCACAAGACTTTCTCATCCAGTATTTATTCCTAATCCTGGTTTTAGAGGACATCTGACATTTTCAAAGATCTAGAAGAAATTTAAAAATAACTGCCATGTAAGATTAAATGTGTATTTATTTCAGTAAATAATAATATCCTTTTCAGCAGTGGGGAAGGAGAGTTAGGAGAGGGGAGACCTAAGACAGAAAACCAAGGAACAATCTATTACGTCACAATTGAAAATCAGTCCCTGAGTTGTTTTAGAACTCGTGTGTAGGGGCGGGGACTGGGAATTGAGGTAAGAGTCATCAGTGACACAGAAAAAAGCTGTGACCAAAAGTAACACTGTAACTGCTGGACTTTGAGAGACCTTGATCAAAGACCACTGCCTGACTGCCCTGGGAACTTCAAGGAGTCAGCCAAATGGGCCATGCTGCTCGCAGCCTTCTGAATGATGATCACAAAGGTCACCTAGAACAAATGTCTTAAGTGATTTTGAGGTTATGTGAGCAGAAAAATATAATGGTAACAAAGGTGGTATGAAGCATGTGAACACACTATTCTTGAAAGAGGTAAAGTGACTAATAGAAGAAGACAAATCTATCTGTCAATGGGCAGAGTAAGCAATAACTCAAGAAATGTGCAAGCAAATTGTCTTTCTAAATTCCTAGAAGTAACTTTTTTTTTTCCTAGAAGTAACTTTGATGAGAGAAAAGTATTCCTATTGTCAGGAACTACTGTTTATTTTTCTCTTTTGGTAGACTATGTGTGGAAAAGCTTTTCATCTCAGCAATACTCACTGCTACAGACTGAATGTTTGTGTCTTCTCCCAAATTCATATGTTGCAGCCCTAACTTCCGATTTGATGGTATTTGGACATGGGGCTTTGGGAGGTGATTAGGATTAAATGAGGTCATGAGGATAAGACTTGGTCTGATGAGATTAATGTCCCTAAAAGAAGAGGCCTCAGAGAGTTTGTACTCTCTCCCTCTGCCCAATTATGTACAAAGAGGTCATGTGAGCACAGAGTTAAGATGGCAGTCATCTACAGGCCAAGAGTAGAGACCTCACAATGAAGCCTGCCTTGCTGGCACGTGGGTCTTGGGACTTCCCAGCCTCCACAACAGTGAAAAATAAGTTTCTGTGATTTAAATTGACCAAGTCTATGGTTGGTTATGGTAGCCCCAAGCAGACTAGTAATATACACCTATACACATCCTTTGACACAAGGAAGACCAACACATACTAATCTTCAAAGCTAACGTGGGAGTTATAAAAGATAAATTTCCTGATAGGCAACTCCATGATGAGATAACTTTAGTTTTTCAGGTCCTTTTTCAAGACCTAATTTTCATCTTGTGGAATAGCTCTGAGATGGAACAATATTCTTGGCTTCCAGTGACTGAGATTATAATGATGTTGCAACCTTCCTCTACTAATCAGCAGATATAAGCAACATGTAAAGGCAGGGACTTTCACTTGTTTACCTTTTCCTGTGGTATCTTCAGCACCCAGAACAGTACTTGGCATGGAGCAGGAGATCAATTAATATTTGATGAACAAATAAATAAATGAATGTATGTGCTGACATGCAGATTAATCGTGGTTAGAACTGAACTTTGCAGAAGATTTGGGGACGGGGGCAGAATTTAATTCCCTTCCAATCTCTGGGAATGCATTAAACAGTACACGGTGGGATGAGAGGGGAACCAAGGGGAAAATTTAAAGATTCACAAAGGCAATCATTTAGGTAATATAATCTTTTCAAAAACTTTTTAAAGTATGAATGCTTATTTAGAATAATTTACTAAAGCTAAAATATTAACTGGATGCTTTGAGGACTTTTCTCATTTCACACACTACTTATCATTGGCTAAAAATACTTTATTTCACATGTGATGACATGGCTCTGATCAAAAAGCTACTGGCAGTCAAGTGCCTTATCCAAGGTCAAGTTGCCTTATCATTCACACTATTTAAGAATACCTTAAAGTCCTCTGAAATTATTTAAGAGAGAGTTGGAAGTAAGTACTCATTTAAATGATATAATAAATATTAAGCATTTTAGAATGGAAAAACTGTTATTTAAAAATGTTGATAAACTAAAATCTGTATTAAAGGTTAATAAAAAAATATTTTAGGAAACAGTTATTAGCTATTAGAATAGTTTTAGGAAATGCATGACTGGGGTGTCTGGGGGGCACAGTCAGTTAATTGTCCGACTCTTGGTTTTGGCTCGGGTCGTGGATCTCAGGGTCATGAGATCGAACCCTGTATCAGGCTTTGTGCTTGCTCAACATGGAGTCTCCTTGAGATTTTTCTCTACCTCTCTCTTTGTCCCTCCACTCTTGCTCACGCTCTCTCTTTCTCTATAATAAAATAAATAGATCCTTAAAAAATAAAGAAATGCATGGTCATATTTATAAGAACATGGATCAGGTCACTATTGAATAACACCTAATTGGTACCCTCAATTTTTGTTTTTAAAATCTTTTTTTGCTTTTTGTTTTTTCTTTTGTTTTTCCTGTTCATTTTCTCATCTGTTTTTATTATTGGATTTTGTTTATTTTTCTTTTTGATCTTTTTGTCTTTTTTCTTTTTCAAGACCTAATTTTCATGTTGTGGAATTGCTCTGAGATGGAACAATATTCCTGGCTTCCAGTGACTGAGATTACAATGATGTTGTAACCTTCCTCTACTAATCTAAATCTGCTCCTAGAAACAGTAAATGGGCACCCTCAAAATTCTGTCTTTCCTCTTTGTCATTTTCAAAGAGTTGTTCTCCCATACATGTTCACAAACCCTCCTTTGTTATGCACAGCCCAGAGTTCAAACTCTAGCTACTTACGTATGTGAGCTGTCTAGATGAGGCATTGAGGGATGTAGGAGGTGTTCCTGCCTGGGGCCTTTGGGAGGTTTGCAAATGGAAGGGGCTGAGGAGTAACGGTGTTTGTTAGGTGAATGCTCTAGTTATGAACTCTCATAAGCTGATGGCTTTACTCTGTTACTGCCATAAATACCACCAGGCTGCAAAGAAAAAGGTCAATGCTGCTCTAAGAGGGAAAAAAAGGTGGAAAAGGTGGCTAGAAACTCCTTTTATCTCTTCACCTATTTATCTCAAGTTAAACTATTAAAATGGCTGAGAGGGCGAGAGATATGAAAAGTTGTAGTTACTGAAGTCTACGTATCTCAAATGCCTCTCTAAAACCCACCCAGGGCTCCTATGTCTTCGGGGAAGCTGCTGGAAAATATCAGACTAGAAAGCCAGAAGTGTTTTGCCAATCTCAGCTTTTCAATAAATTTGAGATTACAGAGAATTTTCTTTATCAGCATAAAATCTGCTGTACTGGTCTATAGAGACATGTGTCTACACAGGTACAAAAGAGCATTACTGTCTCAGACCACTGGTTGAATCCTACCAACATTTGTTAATGAAATGAATTACTAAGAAATGTGGCCTGAATTATAGACACAGATGAGAGAAAAGGTGGAGAAAAGGGGCAGGGGGGCGGGCAGAGAAAAGACAGCAAAGAAAAAAGAAAGGAGATAGAAATGCTTATAAGTGCCAAGAAGACATACCTGGAGATTAAAAGCAGAGTAAAAATAAATAAATAAAAAGGAATCAGACTGATTTGGAAGGCCATCAGGACTGCAAAAAACAGAACAAAACACTCCAAGTGCAAGCCATTCTGTGGTTTTGACCTTGTGCATATCAGCACTGCTACATTCTCTGGGTGGTGGGTAGAATGAATCCACATATTCCAGGGGACTGACTGAATGCACTAAGAAAATGAAGCTCTTCTGAATTTAGAGAGAACCAATGGCTCTGTTTAGAGAGGCTAGACAGCACAGGATTTTAACTACGAGGTGCTTGGAAAGATGTTAAACTGCCCCATTACTGCCTAGGTCAGCATTCTGCTGTGCAATCAACATGCATCAAAGATGTAAGATTATCATTAGTAGAGCTTATGATTTAGAAATATACCCAGAGAAGAAACCTTCACACATCTAACCTTTATTGCTAAGGAAGAACTGACTGAGAATGTGAAATCATTGAGAGGAACCACCTGTCTCCGCTAAAAGTAGTGAAAAACAGATGTTGAATCAGAAAAATAATCCTCAGTCTAAAGAAAGCTACCACGTACCAGCAACGAGAAGAAGTGAACAAAACACAGAATATGAAAAAGGCGAGGTATCATAAAGGATACCATAACTGAGGGAAAACAAGAATAAAACCTGTTTGACAGAGAACACATATGAGGAATAAAAATGTCCTAATGCAGTTTTACAGAGTTCTGTGTTAGAAACAAATGAACTAGAAATAGCTCAATTTGTATGTGACACATCTTACCACCTAGAAAATAAAAGGTTAAATCAAGTTTAAAAAGGAAAATGATTAATGCCAACAAATGAAATAAAAGGAACAAAAAGAACCACGTAAGAATAAAATCTGGGTGGGAAGTAAACAAAAAGTGGCTAATAGAGAAGGTCCAAAGTAACTGATAACTGGAAGTATACTTTGAAATCAGAGGAGGAAAAAAAAAAAAGGTAAGTAAGTAGACTTGTGTTACAGTTAAAAAAAGATATGCAATGCAACATCTGGAAATTTGGAATAAATAGAAGTCAGCAGGTCTGAAAGACATGCATCTTGTTATTAAGGGAACTGGCTTTAAAAACAAAACAAAACAACTTACCAAAATGACTTACAATTATGTTTGAAAAATCATGAAGAACTGAGGAGGTACCAGAGGATTAAAAAAAAACAAATGAGGTACCAATCTTCAAAAATGTAAGAAGTGTGCTTCGGATGATTACCGCCTGGTAAGTCTAACTTGAATCCCTAGTAAAATAATGGAACAAATATTAAAATAAAAAGAATCTAAATATTTAGAGTTTCATGGGCTCATGAAGAATAAGTATGGAGACTGTTTTATTTATTTTAAAACATGCTTTAAAATGTTTATTCTTAGGACAAAACTACTAAAAGGGGAGAATACAGCAAATACACTGTCTTTGGGTTTTACAAAAGCATTTGTACAAATTTCATATAATTTTTATTCTAGATTATATTTCTAACTGGGGCTTACCATCATAACATAATGAATAAAAAGTACCACCAAGTAAAAAGAGTTAAAAGATGTAGGAGAAACAGCAGTGAATCAAGTGAGATGTGATTTTCAGAATGGGTACTGACTATTACTTAGAATCCTCACTGATGTCTGGAAGGATGAATAAATAAAAAGATAAAGTAATTTATTCGCATCTGTGGATGACAGCAAATGTGAAAAGAATGGCTCTAGGTAAGACTATCAAGAAAACACCCAATACTAGCTATCAAATGGTCTGTAAAAGGAAAATCAACAGGACTCAAAAGTGTGAAGGGGACTATGTAACTATGTGTCCAGAACAATCCCAAATATTTTACCTATGCTTTATTGCTTCTTTTACACCATACCTCCATGTATCCTCATTTAACTGACGTGGGTAGTAAGCCTGGAAGACGTAAGGGAACTTGCCCAAAGTCTGACAGCTAGTTAGTGGCAGAGCAAATATGAACCTGGGGCTGACTCCAAAGTCCAGGTGCTTTCCACAAAACCATATAGTCTGCCTTGGAACACAGAAAAGTAATTTCTGAGTGGGAAATTTGAACCACTGAAGGGAAAGAAGAAATGTAGAAAGAGACAATGGATTAAAAAGGAATAATCAGACAACAAGCAAAGAACTGAGACTGCACAATCTGACAGTGACAGAAAAAAAGAAAACGTGACAAAGTACACGGCCAGAGAAGAGAACTTGTTTCGTTTTTCACTTAGCTCTGACTAAACTACCATGGAGCTGAGAATGCTTTATTAATGGAAAGACAGTGACAATGCAGAACGCTACAAAGAACAAGAAGAGTCAAAGAATTCAACATGTATAAAGTTGGCTGAATAAAGCTAGAAAGGCTTTGTGTCATATAAGTGGTGTTCAAATACACAACCAGGAGGGATAGGCCTTGCTTGGCCACAGGCTATTACACCTACAGCAATTCAAGCAACAGAGCCGGATATAAGAGAATTAAAACGGGTGAAGGGAAATTAAGATTAGAATTACAAATCAAAGACACTTCTTCAAAATCAAATTCAGAAGACATGAATTAAGCATTTTTAAAGTTCCCCTTAAGTAAGATTAGATATCCCTAAAAGGTATTCAGAATGTAAGCTCTTTGAAGTCAACAGCTTTGGGGCTTTTTTGTTGTTTTTTTGTTTTGTTTTTTTGTTTGTTTGCCATGGAGAGCAGCTAGCACATTTAGGTGCTTGCTAACCATGTAACACTAAACATTACAGAGTTTTTAATTCTACCAACTCAACACCAAAACTTGTATTATGGAACCACAATAACCAGTCACCAAACACTAGACAAGACCATCAGTAAGCCTTTTCTTCATTTTTTGGATTCATATGAACCATGTAAAGCACTTTGTCAAAAACAGTAACTACAAGAGTTGCAATTCAAGCTCCCAAGTTGTCCAGAAACTGTATCAAGGGAGTACAAAGGCCAAAATAAATATCCTGGAGCTTTCTGCCTAAGAACTAATAGTTGTAGGGGCACACTTCTGTATGAAACATCTATAGCCCTCATTTCAAAGCATCAAATAGCAGGAGCAGCACCCTCACTGCTATCTAATCACTTCAAAAAGATGTTTAAAAGAAAACAAAGATCTTCATAGAAGAAAATGAGAGTTAATCTCAAATAACACTAAGAAGGACAGTAGGAAGACATACTTTTCATTAGGAATTGGAGATAAAATATTTTGTCTTTATTTTTAAAGGTAGCATCTCAGACACTTATTATGGTAGAGGTCCTAAGATTCATAAAACTGCCAATCACTGCATATAAAATATGTGCACAATCAAATGCAGCCCAATACTCAATGTGAAAACGTTTCCAATATGAAGCTACTGACAACAGTACGTTCCATTAGACATCTGAAGAAAAGAAATGGTGTCTGTGAACTATATTTCCTTCCTGGAATATTCTGGTCAAAGCAATAGATATGCCTCTAAACCCTGTTCATCATTTAAATCCAACCACCTCTTTCACAGCATGATCACTATCAGGAAAAGAGGATTTATAAATTCCTGCAGCCCCTACTCTCATATTCTATATCTGGAAAGACCTCTGTGCATTCATTTTCACTTAGTCTATGTTACTAAAGTTCAAAAAGCAGGTGCATCAAACACGGACTGTGAAAGAACAAAGCTAAAAGGCTTTTCCATTTGGGGACTGGAAAGAAGAATCTGAACGACATCTCCAAACAATCCATAACTTACCAGTTTGGCGTCTGAGGACTGAAACTGAGCAGACACTGGACGCTACAAAAGACAGAAAAATGGAATAAAGCCTTATCTTCTCCTAACATACTGAGGCTTTCCAACTCTCGTGTCTATGATCTCACCAAAGAAGATGATCTCCAAGCAGAAACTAAAGCAAGAGCCCTATTCTTTGTGCTTTTAAGACTAGAGCATTTATTATGTTTCACATCATTTTTTCCTATGGTATACCTATTCCAGTTTCAACTTCTCAGCAGGAGCACACAAACCTACTGCCACATCCTCAAGTTAGCTACTCCGCTTGATGAATTTGTTCCACAGAATACATAGAACTAACCTAGAGTTTCTTTACCTTTTAAATAAAAGTGTCCTGGGATCCCTGGGTGGCACAGCGGTTTAGCGCCTGCCTTTGGCCCAGGGCGCGATCCTGGAGACCCAGGATTGAATCCCACGTCGGGCTCCCGGTGCATGGAGCCTGCTTCTCCCTCTGCCTATGTCTCTGCCTCTCTGTGTGTGTGTGTGTGTATGACTATCATAAATAAATAAAAATTAAAAATAAATAAATAAATAAATAAATAAATAAATAAATAAATAAATAAATAAATGAATAGTGTCCTGTAGACCACTTATGGATGAAGTCATACCACCTACCAGTTAGCAAAACAAATGGTGGACGGATTCTCTATGACTTGCAGAGTGGCCATTAAAAGCTGAGAGGCAGGCTAAGAAAAGGGGTCAATTCATTCAAGATTGACGTACAGCTACCTGTAGAAACTCTGTGAAAGCTGCACAGAAACATTCACAATCCTTTACACACAATCCTGTGGCTCCTACCACAGGAAACAATCTGCAAAGGATTGTGATTTCCTATATTCAGTTTTACTTGTACACCTCGGGTAATCCTCTTTTTCTTATTCAAAATTAAAAAAAAAAAAAAACCTTTTGACCTGTGATGATGTACTGATCAAGAACAATCCTGTCGCCTGGTTTTCCTTCTAATCCAAGATATTAATACCCCTTAAAATCCAGTATACCCTGTACCATGTTGCAGCCATAATACTAACAGGGGACAATCCTAGAGCAGGTGGTCACAGACCGGCAGCCCCACAGACTGCCTCTAGCTCAAAGACATGTTATGTTTGGTCTACAAAGTATTGTTTCTTTAATTGGACCAGTTGGTGATACTTTAAAATAAGATTTCTTATTTCTCTTGACAGTAGGAAGGTCTAAGAACACGTGGCCTACACTCATGCATGGCAATGATCAGTTAGAGCACATCAGCAAAGCAGCTGCCCCTTTTTATATGGAGCACAGGTTCCCATCCAGCACAGCCATGTCTCTCTTAGCTGTACCATACCCAGCCCTCTTACTCATTTACATTATCTGCCTGCAGCCTCTATAGGCATTTGAGCTTGCAGACCCTTTCCTGTTCTGAGGAAAGGTTAGAAGTATAACTGCATAAGTAAGAGTGATGAGCTTGGCAAACAGAAATAGCACTACTTGAAATGAGACCAGCAAGCAAAAAGAAAAAAGGAAAATGAGTGGAGGCAGGAGGAGGACAAGTGGAGGAGGAATAAATGGAGGGGTACAAGAAAGGGAAAGGGGAGGGAGGGTGGGGAAGGAGCAGCTATTTTTACCTTCAAAGAGCTTACAGTCTAGCAGAGGAGCACAGAAAACTGAAAAGCAACAAATCAATGACTGTCAAAACCGTGCACTAGAGAACAAGTAAATGATATTGAAATAAAAAATAAAGGTCATGACAGAGTGGGATGGATTTAATAAGAAATAATCTCCAAACTTCTGAGCAGGCAAGGTCATCAATCCAGATGGGAAGAGAGGAGGAACGTGGACCTTTGAGATAAGAAGAAACATTAAAGGCAAAGAACACAAGTTGCAACTAGCCAGGTCTAGAGAGGCAGGGACAGATTTGATGATGGAATAAGCAGGCAGAACAAGGAGTCGATTGGTCTAACTGGAACACAAATGCAGAAGACACAAAGAGCAGTGCAGCATTTGATCAACTGACGTTTCAGACACACATAGGGTTCTGCAGGCATTTATCTCATTGAACCTCAATTAACACCTCATGGTCACTGAGCACTTGCAGAGAAGATAACTATTTCAATGGAGCATCTTCTTTACAAAGCTGGTCTGAAGAACCAAAAGAATGTGGCAGAGTAATGACTAGGAATTTGGAGGCTCCCTCTCTGTGCCTTGTTTATGAGCATATCAATTTGAGGAAAAAAAGCAGATGATTCTTGAAAAAGAAAAAAGGACAGATAGTGAAAAAAGAAGGCAAAAGAAAAGACAAACAAAAAGCAGAAAGTTGGTCAAAAAGCACTGAAAGCATATGCTATTAGCTAGAGCTGAATATAACTGCCTCCTGCCTAGAATGATCCCCAAACTCTCCTGCTCTAAGCGATGTCATATCCATAGTGCTTCAGCTCACTCACTTACTCAGCTACCACTTTTCTAATAAGCCTCCCTTGGGCTCCCTGCTGCTCAATTTGCTTACCTGAGGTTTCTGGAAAGGGTTTCGCCTGGAAGACTCAAAGGTGGGATAAATTGGCCGGGTTGATGCCCTTTGGACAGGATCCTGGCACACAAATCCTGAATGGGGAATGGCAAACATTAAAACCTGCCATTTTCTAAGAAATTAGCAGGTTTAGCTGTATCTTTTCTTTAGATATACAAACTCAGTTTTACAGTCAGTCATAAATATCACAGAAATCCATCCTCACAAGGATTAGGCATGGCTGTCTCAGACACACACTCCACTTGAACTTCAAACCACCAAAACTGGACAGCATAAGAATGGAAAATACACAGATAAATCAAGCTTCCTTTTTGGGGAGTTGATTCTGATTGAAAAAGAGATGCAGATTTTTGGTGAACTTCAGGGTAAAAGTGCAAAACACCCTATAAAAATACACAGCTGTTTATAAAAAAACAAATTATTTTAAAGTGGCCTCTCTGCAGGTAACTGGAAAATACTGTTGTTTTTACTGGGAGAATACAAAGACAAATGAGGGGTCCTATCCTAAGATCTATTTCTGGAACAGTTGAAGGCAGTCTCCTGGCACCGTTCAAAGGGGGCTTCTTAGGTTAACAATAGTTTAAGAAATTAGGTGTGGGCTTACTTCACTTACTTCCTAAAAAGAAACAGACTCCCATCCAGGGAGGCCAGTGTAGCTAAGTTTTACAGCATTTGCTGGTACACCAAGTACTGACTCATTTCAAATACATTTTGTCATGCCTTTTTAGAGTACTTAGAAAACGACAACAAACCCTCAATATACCCACCTCACTGCACATCTCCATTTCAAAGTTTTGGCTTAGCTACTCAAAAAGGGATTTCTTCCTTGGGTCACCTTCAGTTATAACTACTACGGGAGAGACCATGTTGACACCAGCAGAGATCGCCCAGCGGAAACATAGCCAGTTTCCTTTGTAACAAAGCTTCTTCAGCCAGTTGCACTCTCCCCAGCTCGGAGAAAAAAGAGACTTTCTCCAGACCTTTGCTCTTCCTCAGCTCATAATTCCTGTGCCCCAGGAATTAGGTCTCAGCTCTAGTTGTGGTTCAGCCTCAGGACAGAATGGAGCCAGGGGGAGTAGAAACATATAAACACTTGCCTGAAAATTAATTTTTTAGTACAAAACATTCAGCATGGCTTAAGAACTGCCAGTTGGCAACACCTAGAGAGCCTGACAAAATGGATGCTCTGGTTAAGTTTTATGTGACTCTTCAGAAAACACTACTACTCACCTACAACAGTGAACATATCTGAAATCATACTGGCTTTAATCTTTAGGTCCAGAGGTGCATCACTAATAGAACAAAGAAAGAAAGGCCAATCGATGATGTTATAGATTAACAGAACAGCTGCCCTTAATGGGCCTCAATATAGCAGAGCTTCCAAATGTCAAGGAGGAGCAACACATAAAGCACATCAAATCCATGGAAAAAGAAAAAGAAAATCTGGGCAAAAATACTAGAAATAAAAGCCCACTGTTAAACCCATCCTCTGTAGGGCAGTCCCAGCACCAAAGATGATCCCATGACATGCAATCTTTTTATTCCAGAAGGTCTTGTGCAATTCAAACTGTGCACAAGTCAAGAATACTGCTTCATTATCATTGTGGATTTTAGAGGTTTAGACTTTTAATATGCTCTTTTATGAGTGTGTCCATCATTCAAATTACTTTTTACTGCTACAATTGTCAAATAACATTCACACACAAGAGAAGAAACTCTGGTCATCTTTGTACTTTTTTTTAAGGCTACATTTCTGTTCTAAATCAATCTTCTTAAGCTTTTAGGCTTGGAAATGAGGGCAAAATAAAAAAATACAAGTTATACCAAAATATCACCAGATGATGCAGAAGGAGCCACATGGAAACAGAAATATGAACTGAAAGTTGGAAGCCTCCCTGTGGCAATGCTGCCATGTTGGCTTTGGTGTTGAGGTGTTCCTCCACAAACCAGATTACTCTGGCTGCTGAACCAACGCATCATTCTGGGGATCTCTAACTTCGTATGATGCACCTGCCTGGGCAATCTACAAAGAACTGACTGAACAAGAGTAACCCAACATCTGAAGCATCTCTGATATCCAGCTCTATACCTTACTATGGGGGTTAAGCCAAACTCCCACTCCACAAAGTAGTGAATCGGTCTTTATTTGATAACTTGGCATTTTGCCAACATTTTTCATCTTTAAAAATGCAGCTGCTGGGTGGTCTCTAGCATAAATCTCCAGGATTCTCTAGCTGTTTAGAGAAGTATATGGGTAATAGAAACTCTGGCTACAGCTGCAGATATAAGCACAGTCTTCTCTGGTATTGAAAAATAGGTTTCTTTCCCTCTAAACAACAGATAGGTTAAAAAAAATTTTTTTTAAGATTGTTTGAAGTTTTTAAACTCTAATCTTAGATGGATACCAGAACATGGAAAGGGTAAAAGGACCAAATATATATACTACCCCAGGCCCACCTCTATACCTTTACAGTATATGTGGATTTGAGTCTGTATAAACCTTTAGTAATAAACGAAATATAATACTTTATGTATTTCTTTAGCCTTAGTAGAACATCTACAAAGTTAGGAGAGAAAGAGAACTAGAAATAAAAATGAACACAAGAAGTGTCCCTTAGTAAAAAAAAAAAAAAAAAAAAAGTGTCCCTTAGAAGCTCAAGAAAACAGTTATCATAGATCGCAAATTGACTAGAAAGATAGGGATTCATGGTTGTCATCTAGACTTTAATCACATGTCACAAATCCCTCAAATTTGGAAATTCTAGTCATTTCTATCTAATAACTAGGGTAAAAAAAAATAATGCCAAGTGAAATGTCTATTTAAAAAAGTGTTTTACTGCTACTCATTGAAAGTTTGTCCTTTTCTAGTTGATAGGACAGACTACTTACCAGGCCAAAGAAGGGGAGAGATTTACTTCCAACAACCATGGCTTCAGAGTAGAATCTATGAGCACATCAAAGCCATAGAGTTCTAGAAATACAACATAACACAATACACAAGATCATTTTCTATGTTACAGCTGAACAAAAATCTGGAAGACTGAATCCAATCAACTCCCACCAGAGGCCTAAAAATTTGGTGAGTATAAGTAATGAGTGGAAGTAGTAGCAGAGAACCTTTCAAGTTCAAGAGAAATTAATCATCCTCTAGAAATAACAATGTTTTAAAATTCCAGTTTTTATCATCCATTCTATTGACATTCCTGAGTTCTACACAGAAAGTGACCTGACCTCTAAAGTTAAATGCTTATGGAAAAAAAGAAAAAGGTTAGGAATGGGAATCAGCATACACCATATTCTGAAAACAGAAAAATCTACTGAAGGAATTTCCCTGGGGTCCTTCTATTGCATTTTCTTAAGATCTTGCTTTTGCAGCCTAGGTGAAGAATATATCGAAGAATAAATTATATTTATTCTTCTTCTTTCCTATGGTTTCAATTTCCCTTTGAAGACAGATAATAAAATACAGGGGATCCCTGGGTGGCGCAGCGGTTTGGCGCCTGCCTTTGGCCTGGGGCGTGATCCTGGAGACCTGGGATCAAGTCCCATGTCGGGCTCCTGGTGCATGGAGCCTGCTTCTCCCTCTGCCTGTGTCTCTGCCTCTCTCTCTCTATCATAAATAAATAAAAAATTTTAAAAAAATAATAAAATAAATAAAAAATATATATAAAAAAAGATAATAAAATACAATGGCCCAATATAGAAAGAAGAGAAGGGTGGGAGCCCGTGGCAGACACGACAAGCCATCCTGCACCACTAATATCATTGAAAAAGGGGGGGAAAATTACATACATACATACATACATGAAAAAGAAAAAGAAAAAGAGAAAGAGAAAGAGAAAGAGAAAGAGAAAAAGAAAAGAAAAAGAAAAGAAAAGAAAAAGAAAAAGAAAAAGAAAAAGAAAAAGAAAAAGAAAAAGAAAATGAAAAATGGAGGGAGCCAGAGACCAAATTTTCATGGTTTCTGGATTCTTTACTGATTCTCTTCCCTAACACCTCAGCTGTTGCAGAGAGCAAAGTAAGAACCATGGGCAAGCTTTTCTCCAAGGATGCAGGAATAATAGGACACTAACTTTGGAACCTCAGCTGACAACCTTTACTCTTATTATTGATGAGACCCTCTCTACTGTCCTCTTTGGTCTACACAGATCGAATACACCTGACTTCAGAAATCCCACTCATTCTCAAACTTCCCACTCTGTATCTCTCAAATAAACTCTCTACATCTTCTCTCCACGAGAAAAGATGGGCTTCCTTACAGTTCAACCAGAGATTACAGGTCACAGCTCACACCTACAAAACACAACCAGGTGTCTTCCAGAAGCTCATTTTAAAATAAACGTCATTACTTCAAGAAGGATTCTTCCCTTTCTCAATCCTCTCAAAACCACAGAAAAATAAATGCAAGTTTCTAAAAAAAATGCCAAAGACTGTCTTTTGAACAGAAAATCTGATAAGGGACCAAGAATCCTAGAAGGGGAATCCAGAAACCTGGATCTTTCTCAAGACTCTACTATTTATTCACTGTGGAACTTAGGGAAGTCGTTTCTCTTACATTTCTTTAGCATCCTTTCATTTCCTTTGTCCTCTCTATTAATCACCATCTGTCAATACCTCTGCTCAGTAACACTATATCCAAATTCCTATTTATACAACACTGATTAGAGGATCATATTCAAATCCTTCACTCAAGAAAAGTTGTCATGAATAAATCTGCTTCCATGGTACTTATCTAGGATTCAATTTATTTGCAAAAATAATCACAAACTGACAGAGTCTGAGATGGGATTTACTTTCATATCACTACACAAAAATCACTTATTAGCTGTACTTTAAAATTTAAAGAAAAAGAAAGCTCCTTCACCTATCTCTTATAGGTAACAAATTCATAACTTTTATGGCCAGTACATTCTTCTGAATATTTTACCTAATCTTCAATCATCCCACAGAATATTCCCCTTTTAATCTGAAGGGGAAAAAAAGAACTTTTGTGACATAGCACTAAATATGGCATTTAAAAAGAAACACTTCATTGCAAAATCTACAAGTCATGTTAACATTACACAAGCAAGAGCAGAGGATTCAACTGTCTCATAAAATGATAATATTATAAATAACAATAGTATGAGATACAGGGTAAGAAAAATACCTGATGCAGATATTGACCAAATTTGCAGAATCAACTACAAATGAAGACAAACTGAAATCAGAATGACAACTAATGAGACCCATTATTTAAACACCTTGCATTAAACAGTGAACACATTTACTTAACTGTTTCCCAAATTAAGAGGCAAATTCCAAGAATCTTAGTTGAAAGGCTGAGAACTAACATTCTGGGAAGAAAAGAAAATCCAAAGAGAGAAACACCCTTTACAGTGCCAAATAAATTTTTACTCAGGTGAATGAAATCCATCTCAAAATCAGTTTGGGATCTAACCACACCTGTACATGCACAAGGCTTGGATCTACTACTATTTAAAAGTGGAGTTAGTTTGTGATACAAAGCCCAGCTCACCTAAGAGGCTGGAGCTGGAGGGAGAATGGGGAGGCAACAGTAAATGGTATGAAAAAATAGCATTTGTGTCAGGTTTATCTCTTAAAATAATCAACTTGGCTTAAGAAAAACAATTTGCATCCTTAGCAGGCTACAAAAGTCCTCTTTTAATTTATGACTGGTCTTTTCCATGAACACTAAAGATTCTAAAAGGTAAGAAGTGGGTTGTACTGAGAGTATTAAGATTCACCTTTAATATTGTATGTTTTGGCAGCAGTGTCTAGAATTTCAAAAATTCAGTATCCAGGATGAGATACATCAGTGTTCCTGTCATTAAAGGGTACAGGCAAGCTAGGTTTTTCCCGTTCTTTGTTCCTCTGTGTTGTCCTCATCGTGACAGAAGAGCAAGTATTTCCAAAGGACTGTTGCTACCACTTTGTTCAACAAGGTGTTTCCTTAGGAAAAGTTTCTTTCTTGAGATGTATTTCTTTCAGCCCCCAGCCAAATCAAAATGAACATGAAAATTATCCTAGTGACTATTAAGGAGAAGCCTGACTCTACCTCTACTTTACATTAGTGCCCTTATCTCCCTAGTTCTTGAATGCAGCTTCCTGAAAAAGCAATCTACACTTAAATGCCTTAACCTTCTGAATGTCTATTCATTCCCCAACCTGGAAGAATTTACTTCTGGTCCCATTCTCAAAGTCAGTGACTGTTCTATGATCTCCAAAGACCACCTTACTGCCAAGCCCAAACATCTGAAACTGTTGACCACCCCTTACTTATTGGAACTTTCTTCTCCCTTGGTTCCAGGACACTGTTCTCTTCTGATTCTCCTCCTCCTTTCAATCCTTCTCTTCTGCCCAGCTATTCACTGGTAGGTTTGCTCAGGGTGGCATCCTCAGGGCTCTTTCCTTCTCAATTCTACTTCTCTTCTTGGGTGATCTCATGTATTCTCAAGGCTGCAATTAATATTATGATGATGACATTCAAATCTCTATCTTTAGTCAAGTTGTCTCCTGGACACCAAATCCATAACTCCACATGCCTTCTAGACAACTTCACTAGGATATCCCATGAGTACTCAACACTCAACAAAACATAAGTTATCTTTCCCCCAAACCTGTTTGGCTCCCCATTATTCTTCATCTTGGAAAATAATAACCCCATCTGCCAGTCTTCAAAGCTAGAAACACTCTCTTCATCACCTCCCAAATACTGCACATTACCACAACTCTATTTCTCTTTAATGCAGTCTTCTATATTCTCTTTTGAGATATAATTTATATATAATGAAAGGGAAAAAGCTAAGTGTAAAACAGGATGAGGCTTGATAATTGGATACATCCATGTAATACACACTCATATCAACCCACAGAAAACATTTCCATTACCCCCAGAAAGATCCCTTGTGCCTCTTCCTGGTAAATACCCTTCCTCCCCTCACCACACCTCCAGACAATCACTATTCTTATTTTTTCACCATAGATTCATTTTGTCCATTCTAGAATGTCATATAAATGGGAGCATATAGTATATACTCTTTGGAGTCTGGCTTCTTTCATTTAGCATTTTTGAGGTTCATCCACCGATCACTATTTTTTTTTGTTTGTTTTAAAACAAGTTTATTAAGGTAATGAAATTATGTATAATTTACATACAGCAAAATTCACCCTTTTAAAATGTAGTTAGATGAGTTTGGCCAAATGTATATACTTGTTTAACCATCTCAATTAAGATATAGAATAATTCTATCACAGACACTTGCCAAGATCCTTCAGAGTCAATTCTCACTCCCCATCCCACCAGCAACCATTGATCTGATTACTGCCTTTTACAGAAAATCAAGTAAATGAAATCATACAGCATTAGCCTTTGAGAGTGGCTTCTTTCACTTCGCATTGTGCTTTTGAGATTTATCTATGATACTGTGTTTCAATAATGTAGTTCAATCCTTGTATTGCTGTATAGTATTCCACTTTATGGATATACCATAACTTGTTCATCCATTCAACAGTTCATGGACGTCTGGGTTGCTACCAATTTTTGGTGATTATGAATAAAGCTGCTATAAACCTTCACATACAGTTATTTGTGGGAACATATATTACTTTTCTTGGGTAAATACCTACAAGTGGAATTGCTAGATCACGTGGTTGTCTATTTTATCACTGCATACTTCTTCCCTCCTTCCTTTCCATAGGACTAGTCTCTCCCCACCCACTGCAGTCCATTCTCCACATGGTCATCAGAATTTCTAAGACATAAATAGTCAGATAGAGACAGGCTGTGAACAGGCCCAACAACAGATACTTGATGTAGGGTTGGCTCCTGCAGGACTTTAAATTAGTCACTTCTAGTCATGTTGTATAGTATTTCTTTATTGTAACTCTGTCCTACCAAGCTTTGGGTCAAATTATGATAAAAATGAATGAAAATAATCTTACTGCTCTCTTGCTCAAATAAAGCTCCAG